AAATTTTGGCACCCAGCTCGTTACTGTCGTTTGCATTGACTTTTCATTCAGGCCGGTAATTGAATTAAATGTCCGCTGACAAAAAGCAAATGAAAAGCGAGCTCGGGCAATGAATTAGCCAACTAAATGCGAGGCTTTAAAGCCCAACAAAATGGCTAAAGAAAGAAAAAAAACATCCCAGTAAATCCCTTTGCCTTGGTAGCTTATAAAGCAACCTTTTTTCTCCCCTTCCGTGAGATGACTGATAAGGAAAAGGGTCACAATTAGTAGGTGTCGTCCTACTGCTGCTGCCTGGGCAGCCTCTTAATATATCGAACTCTCGGCCCGCTTTGATATTGGAGCACGTTTCGGGTTCTCCGGTAATCTGGTCGATGCCATTAAATGCCAGGGGACGTCAACAATTGGCATAGTTGGGATTGGTTTGTTCCTAGAAGTTCTTGCCAACCTCCCCTATTCTTTTACTCAACCGACCCACCATTCGATACGCATGAAAATCAAACTACAATTAGGCGCAGAACCGAAGACGGAAATCTGATTCGGAGCCAAGAAACGAGGGCCAAGAAGCACCGGAAAAAGTCAAAATAAATGAATATTTAATATCTTATAGCAAAAAAAACTATATGAATTTCGAACCTAAATTCTTTATTTAAGTAATAAGCACAGAACACTGTAAATAATCAATAAATTTAAGAGATTTGTTTGTTAATTTTTCTCAGTGCTTACGTCAAAGGACTTGTCCATTGAGGCATTAAATGTCAGGCTTACACACTCCTCCCCCACCACAAAAGTCGGCTTACTCACTGACCAGTTTTGGGGACGTGCTCTCCATTTGTTTTTATGCTTATGCTGCAGAATGGTCTTCGACTTGGTTTCCTACTTGGTCCCAGCTAGTCGCCGGTCCAATTTCCCAGATTCCGGCGCTACTCTCCGGCCGTGACGCATCGAATTATCTGCGATCCGGGCTTAACTAAGCAGCAGGATAAATATCCTGCAGCGTTTGGGCCTGCCGGGCAGCTCCATCAAACCGATTGGCGGCAACCTTACGCCGGCGGTGGCGATTTGTTTAATATTTAATGCACAACAACAGCAAGAATAAACAGCAAAAGATGTCTGCGGGACCCATTTTATAAAATATCGCTCCGGGTCAGGCCAGACAAGTTTGTGGGCTTTCCCTGGCTTCCCTCCTTTGTGTGATTTATTTAGTTAAGCTGTCCCAAATCCGAGCATTGCACAAATCCCCGGCACACAAATTATGGAACCGACAGCCAGGGCCAGTCGAAGTTTCACCAAACTATTCCAGATTCGTTTCGAAAGGACTGTCTGTCTGCTCAATGGAGGAGTCTCCTGCTGCTCCTCCTGAAGCTGTCAGCTGGACTGTATCGAAAGAGACGCACGAGCGAGCAGGCCGGACCCGGCTCGACCTAGGTGACAGACGCTTGACACATGGGGGTCCGGGACCTTTGGCAAAGTGTTAAATCGGTCGGCACTCGGCCGGAAGGTGACCCGGTCAGAGTCACCCTTTCACCCATTTCCCCATAGCAACTCCTAAGCAATTTTGCCACCGGAGCCCATCAATTTCCCAGCATCGATGTCGAAGGCGTTTGCTACTCCACAGGAAATGGAAACCGTAGATGGAACTGGAGCCTGGCACTCTGGCTGCTAATGAGTTAATTAGATGATTTAGTTGCCGCATTTTCGGCGCCACAAGGGCACATTAATTATAAACCCAATGCCGGAAGCTGGAGATGCTTATGAATTCCACATATTTACACACGCATTTAATCGAGTCGAGCACACAAACACACACAGCGGGCTCTGGGGATGAGTCCTGAGTCCTTGGCATCGCCAACTGATTGCTGTCTTCATGTCCTGCGCATCCTTAAGCCTGTCAAACACTGGGATAAATGTAGGGATAATATTAGACAATAAATAATTTGTAAAAACAATTTTGTATATTTTATAAATTACCAGCTTATGTTCATAATTCCCAAATTGCTCATTCAAGATAATTCTGAAAGCGCTTGAAATTCTTTTAAGTGTGCTTGTGGGCTCATTAAAATCCGCATTCAAACGTTTGTGAAAACGCGTATTAACGAATCCTAGGCGCGAGTTCATTAATTGCAACGATTTTGTGGCCACAACCGCATCCTGGCCGCAAAAGGCGACATCTTGGGACTCTGCCAGCTGTCTAAGTGGTTTGTGTTTGGGGCATGCCGCATAAATCGAGCGGAAACGAGGCAGCCACCGAGGTGGAGGTGGGCTATGCGGATGCGACTGCGGAGGGGGGCCAGTGTCTGCCAAGTGGGCCGACCTTGCACTGACCATGACCCTGAACTTTTGCGAGCTGCGCCGCCTCCTAATGATGCCAGACAAACGTCTCGAAATGAGCTCGCACCGGGAACTGCATGGCCAATACCGTGACCCCTTCTTCTTTTTTCAGAGCAGAGAGCCAGCTTTTGACATGGCAAATCAGTGGAAGCCTTCTCATAAGCCCACTGTGTTGCAGTCTAGATACAGATACGAAGGCGAATCCCTGGCGCAGTAGGCGGCTGCCAATTGTCCTTCTTCGCTTTGTCTCTCTGCATTCCTTTTTCTTTTGAGTTTCCCCAAGCTTAAGCTGCTTAAATTGCAGCAAGCTTAGCCGGTCGCAATTTTCAAGCAAAGGCAAGCAGTGGAGCATCGCTTTGATTACAGAAATTAAATCTGCTCAAAAAAATACAGTAAAGGTCCGGCAATTGGCCAAAAGTTTTGGCAAGAACAATTTTGTTTTTTCCCTGCTGACGATGGGAAGGAAAGTTTTGTTTGTCGGGTGTATATTACACCATCAAACCGCCAGCGTCAACCGAATTTTTAACTTCATTTAGAACTCATTAAAAACTTTGGCATAATTGCATAAATTTGCAAAGTCAATGGGAAACTTGTCCAGCCAACGCGGGTGCCTGGCCAGCTTCCCTAAGTGGTGGTGGTGATGGAGATGGTGAAGCTTCGATGGCTTCTTGGAGAGCCCTGCCTATGGAATCACTCCAAGTTTGCAAGTTGGTCACGTGGTGGATCCACCTCCACTTACTCCCAACAAATGGGACACAGCTGTTGGAAGATGCAAAGCGCTTTAATTTTTATTTCCTTCTAATTTATGTATGTATACATTAACCTTTTGGTAATAAACGTAGTTAAATTATTTTTTTACGTAATGGAATATGAGGTATATAAGAAAACTTTAAAAATATTTATAGTGCACAATATTTTATAGAAAATATATTTAGATCACTAGGAATTAATACAATATAAAATATATATTATTATGTTACAAAAAAATTAAGTAATTGCAAGTCATTCTTTATTAATGTTCAAATTTAGTAACGGATCATACAACTTACTGGTCATAGGTACTTACTGTTCAGAGTTACTTACTGCTCATAGTTACTTATTGATTATAGTTAAATTAAATAGCTCGCTGCTCCTCTCTGCCTCTCCCCCTCTCACTCTATGTTAATCGCTCTATGTTAATCTCTAGCGGCAACTGCTTCTCTCCCACGCACTCACACTCACTTTCTCTGCTCTTCTCTGCTCTGCTCGGGGACTATAAATAGAGGTGCTGAGGTCGCGCGCGCTTCAGTCTGTCCTAGGGGTACCTAGTGTTAACATCAATAGTGATAGTGCAAGTGATCAGCCTTCGACTTCAAAAATATGACGTGGCCAATAAAACACATCTGGATGACTAGGAAGAAACTCACTTTGGATGAAGTCACTATTCTTGGTCAATGTAAACAATGACCAAAGAGAATAGCCACGTGTCCTTTACGGCGGTAAGTCTTAACCATGACATTTATATTATGTATGAAGAAGCTGTAGGTGGGATTAGGCCTAGTTCTAGACTTTATATTCCAATTTATTCCCTTATCGCCATGGTCCCCTTTACATACTTAGAAACTTACTAATACTTTTCAATACTTTAGATACTTACAGATCATAGTTACTTACTGGTCCTAGATACTTACTGATCATAGTTACTTACTGGTCCTAGGTACTTACTGATCATAGTTACTTAATGTTCATTGATACTTACTGATCATAGTTACTTAATGTTCATTGATACTTACTGATCATAGTTACTTATTGGTCATAGATACTTATTGTTTAAAGGTACTTACGGATCCACTACATTCAACAACGGTTTCTCTGGCAGTTATATTAAAGAGTATTCCGATTTTCATAAAACTAAAAACGAAATTCTATAATAATAAAAGATAGCTTTGAATCAAATAAGATAAAAATATAATTTAAAAACTGTAAGTTATGATTTTATATTATAATTTATTTTCTGCAGTCCCTGTAGTAAACCATGATTCTATTATAATAAAAAAAATCATTGAAGTAATTTATTGCTCAGAATGACGGTGCCTTGAAAATCAAAGCTCCATTTAAGTATTTTTTTCCTATTAAAAAAACATTTCTTACCACTGTAAAAAAAAGCTTTCGATAAGCTAAAAGAACCAAATATGAGCTATAGATAAGGCAAAAGCTTTTATATCTGTTAAAGTTTGTACTGCTGACTCGCCTAATTTGGCAGAAACTGTTAAGATAATATAGTCATTGAATTTCAAATCTATACCGATTAAATAATGATTCTTTTATGTTTAAACTTTGATTTTAAAATTAGAAAAACCTCACTTGTTAAATAATAAAAATACATACTAAATTAAGGCAGAAATTCTCTTCATAAAAGATATTAACCCACAATTGAAATAAACATTAACGAAATTTATTTAACATGATTTGGTGTGTAGTTTATTCATCATTCAAATGTTCTATAATTTATACATATTACATGAACTAATTAGCTGGTTTAAATACACACATATTATATATTTTAACATTTATTGTGTCGGCTGTGTTCATGATTATTATTAAGTGTTGTCGTTGCTGAAATAATCGGGCCGTATCATAGAACATTTCCCCTTTTCACGCTTGCGACCAGAGAGACAACAAACAAACAAATATATATTATAATTTATGCAACTTTATGTAATATTCATTAATTTAGAGACAAGGAAACAAACAGTATTTCATAGTTCTTTATACTTTCTCGTAGATGTTCCACATTTTTAAAACGATTTTGTTGCATTAAAGCATTTGTTTTTTGCACTTAATATTCCATTGTTTAGTTGAGTTGCTGTACAAATTGTTCACAAGGTTCGGTGCAGGGACAGGGGAACCGGGGGCGGGGGACTTTTGTTTAATACTTGTGCGAACTGGTGAAACGTCTAAATAAAACGCGGTTACAGGGGGGAGCAAACGAAAGTAACAAAAAGAGGTTATTTTTTGTTGGAATGCTACGATTCTTTATGCGAAAATGATTAGACAAAAATTATAAACAATTCAAGGAGCACACACTTAAAACCTAACAAAAATAGTAAACTTTAACAAATGATTATTACAGGACAGTGTGTTTAGAGGCGGGGAGGCTAACGACAATCATTATTAGCAATTCAATTTATGTACATTGCAAGACGGTTTGTTTCGATTTCAATTTCAATACTAAAAACACACACTAGACATTAGAGTAGGTTTGCTCGCTTGGACAATATTCAACTAGTTATTGTTTTTGGCCGCGCTGGAGCGCAGGATAGATATTTTGTGGATGTATTGTGGTTTATGTATATATATATATAGACGCATACACAGCGGGGATATTGCAGGTGGTGGTGGAGGACGCGCCGCACGATGCGCCGCCGCCGCCAGCTTAAATTATGAATGAAACAAAATTTTGGACAAAAATCAAAAACAAAACAATAAACAGAATCTAATGGCGCGAGTCCCTGGGATAGAATTCGGCCAGGATGGAGGCCGGAATACGCTTGAGCATCTCCTTGGGGAAGATACGCAGCAGCTGCCAGCCAATGTCCAGGGATTCGAAGACAGTGCGGTTCTCGTAGTTGCCCTGCGAGATGAAGTTCTTCTCGAACTTGGTCAAGAACTCCAAGTACAGCAGATCGTCGGGCGTCAGGGCCTCCTCGCCCACCACGGCCTTCATGGCCTGCACGTCCTTGCCGATGGCGTAGCAAGCGTACAGCTGGTTGGAAACATCGGAGTGATCCTTGCGTGTCATGCCCTCACCGATGGCGGACTTCATCAGACGCGACAGCGACGGCAGCACGTTGACTGGAGGGTAGATCTGTCTGTTGTGCAGCTGACGGTCGACGTAGATCTGGCCCTCGGTAATGTATCCGGTCAAATCGGGAATGGGATGGGTAATATCGTCGTTGGGCATAGTCAGAATGGGGATCTGAGTGATGGAGCCGTTGCGGCCCTCCACACGTCCGGCACGCTCGTAGATGGTGGCCAAATCGGTGTACATGTAACCGGGGAAACCACGACGACCGGGCACCTCCTCACGGGCGGCAGACACCTCACGCAGGGCCTCGGCGTACGAGGACATGTCGGTGAGGATGACCAGCACGTGCTTCTCGCACTGGTAGGCCAAGAACTCGGCGGCGGTCAGAGCCAGACGGGGTGTGATAATACGCTCAATGGTGGGATCGTTGGCCAAGTTCAAGAACAGGCACACGTTCTCCATGGAGCCGTTCTCCTCGAAGTCCTGCTTGAAGAAGCGGGCCGTTTCCATGTTGACACCCATAGCGGCGAACACGATGGCGAAGTTGTCGGTGTGGTCATCCAGCACTGACTTGCCGGGCAGCTTGACAAGACCGGCCTGACGACAGATCTGGGCAGCAATTTCGTTGTGGGGCAGACCGGCAGCGGAGAAGATGGGGATCTTCTGGCCACGGGCAATCGAGTTCATCACATCGATGGCCGAGATACCGGTCTGGATCATTTCCTCGGGATAGATACGCGACCAGGGGTTGATGGGCTGACCCTGGATGTCCAGGAAATCCTCAGCCAGGATTGGGGGTCCCTTGTCGATGGGCTTGCCGGAGCCGTTGAACACACGGCCCAACATATCCTCGGACACGGGCGTGCGCAGGATGTCGCCGGTGAACTCGCAAAGCGTGTTCTTGGCATCAATGCCCGAGGTTCCCTCGAACACCTGGACGACGGCCTTGGAGCCGCTCACCTCCAGAACCTGGCCAGAGCGCACGGTGCCGTCAGCCAGACGCAGCTGCACGATCTCGGCGAACTTGGGGAATTTGACCTCATCGAGGATAACCAATGGACCGTTCACACCGGACACCGTCTTGTAGGCTGTTTTTTAAAAGAAAAGATAAAAAAGTGTTAAAAGTTTAAGTAAATAAGTTAAGTTTTGTTATAAAACACAGGTGAAAATATGTAAAAAATTTAAATACATTAGCCAGGCTCTAATTATTTTCTTTAAAATAGTATTATATTTTAGTGTTACATTTGTTTCATAACCATTTTTGTTCCTATATTATATTTCTATATATATTCTAAATGGTAGTAGTTCATAATTTCCACTTACAAGCACATTGCTTTCTTTAACTTCTTATTAGTTTTCATTACAACAAAAACACTAGCCGCGCAACGCTCACATGAAAGCGAGAAACTGATAAGAAAGCAACTGTCAAAAGAGAAGTGTAGTTGGGATGGGTTGTAGCGGGGTACGGTAAATTATGTCAGCTGACTGGCCAACTGGTTTTTAGCCCTAGCCACGAGAACTGCAGTTGGAATCTCATAAGAAATAGATAGCAAAAAGGAATCCTATAAGCTATTGATAGCGAAAAGGGCAGACGAAGTGCAGGAATCTAATGAGAAAAATGCAATAAAGAATGCGAAAGAGAAAGCAAGATAAAATTGGAAAAACAAACACGAAGTTCATTTACAATTCACATGCAAAAGCACGAATAGTTGATTTATAAAAAAAAGTAACTGATTTATGCAACATTTTCTTGACACATATAATTACTACTTATATTTAACTATCTTCTAAAAGTATATTTCAGTTAAATGTCGGTTATAATCTTAATACAATATACTGAAACAAGTACTATTACTAAATTAAGAAAAAATTAATATTTCTGTTAAAATGATTAATTGTAAATGTACTCCCTCGATAAAAAGTAGTTAAAAATCGCTAAATTGACGACCTCCGCTGGGCAATCGGCCCGCCCGCCTCACACCCCGTTCGCAGTCAGGTGCCTTTGATTGTGTGCGAGTGAGCAAACAGCTGAGCTGAGCGAACGGTCATGTGACGGCGAAAATTTTCAATAGGAGTTAACTGATCGCGGTTGGGTGCTCCGCGGGGCTAATTAACTAATTCTGGATATCTCTCCATGCATGTAGAGCATTTTGCAGATAAATATCTGCGAACTGGGACACTTCTTATGTTTTCAGTGGGTGGCGCAAGATTTTATTGATTTTTTCTCTACTCCGCCTCACACCCGATTCTTCGCGCAAACTGTCATGGCGGACTGGCGAGTACGTTTTTGCTTTTGCTGGCACTTGGTTTTCCCGATTTTTCACTTATTTTCCGCGATACTGATGGGGTTCACGAGGTTTACTCACTCAAGCGGGGCTGGGAGATAAAGTCCCGGGATACGGCGAGGACATGTTCCCGCTGGGCTTGCTGGGCGTTCATCTTGGCTTTTTTTCTACGCCTCTCTACCTTCAAAGTGCACGGCAAATTTCGAGCTGCAAAAGAGGGTCGAAATCAATCTTGCACTTGCGTTTGAGGTTTTATTATAAGCTACCGTACAATTTTTCAGCTACGAACAGTACTGAGCGACACACACGCAAAAATTTGGCTGCGAAGTCGGTGCGAGTACGAGGAAAAATTGCTTTGAAACGGCCAGTGGAGCTAAATCTGTTGTGACGTCACGTGCCATCACATGACTCCCCAGGCGCTAGGGATTTCGCGCTCGTCTGGCTATTTTAGTGTAATTATAGCTAGATCTGGTATTTATTCTTTAGATTTGCAGTATTTTCGGCATCCAAAGTAAATATACAAATAACTAAACAATAAAATTTATCTAATTATGTTAATTTATTTTTGTTTTGTGTTTATTATAAAGCAAGCTTGTATGAAAACATCGATGTTTCACTAATGTTTTTATTGAAAATATTGAAAAACATTGATAGAAAATTCTTCTCATCCAGCGAAAACTGCAGATTTTGTTTAAAGACATTATATGCAAAAATAAGCAGTGATTGAACAAAAGTCACTTATATTCCGATTCGTTATTAAGATTATTATAATAATAATGAGAATAAAGTTTTCCGAATTATTTGTTTTACCTATTTTACCGAGATTTTACCGAAATCTCTTAAAATATATTTATTTTATTTATTTTTTTTTTTTGAATTTTATTTAAGAAAATATCGTAAAATAATGTTAATAAGTAACAATTGAATACCGAGTCGGTATTAAAATATTAATTATGTAATCGTTGATTTTATCAGCAATATTGTTTTATATTGTAATAATATTTCCCTTAAAATCGTACGTTCGGATAAGCGATTTCAACAGTGTTTGAATCAATAAATTTCTACTACTGAACCAAAAAAATATTAAATCCAATTTTTTACATATATAAGGAATTTAAAAAATAATTAGGATTCCAATGAACCCTACGTTCATAAAATATTCAAAAAGTTAAATAATTAGGGCAAATATTTTATTATCTTACGTTGTAGTATTATCAAGGTATTTTTTTCTGATCTGGCAGCGTTGCCTCCCGGGCGCATGCAGCCCTGCAAGGAGTGTAAAACATACTAAATAAGCCAGCACTAGGCAGGTTCATGTTAGCCAACAGAGCACTGTTAATTATTGGAAAGTTTTATTTTAATTAAATTACAATAGTTGTTTACACACACCCGCGACAAGTCTCCCGAAACCCGTAGAATTTCGGCATACAAACAGGACAACGGACGGAGAAGTGAAGCTGAGCCGGAGGAGGACTAGCAACAAAGAACGGCAACCACAAAGAGGGGCCGAGAAAACCAAAACCCGTTTCATTCCACTGCTGCTGCGGCATTTCTCCGCTCTCTGCGTGCGCTCTCAACAAAGGGGCGTCTCAGCTACAATAGTCGCCTAATCCGGATCCCCTGGCCACCAGTATGATGGTTGAGTCCGACGGCACCGCCGAGGCCACCCGCCGTCTCAACGTGAAGAAGCAGACCCTGGACGACGCCTATGCGGTGCCCGCAAACTTCCTGGAGATCGACGTGGTCAATCCACTGACCACCATGGCGGCGGGCAAGAAGCGCTACACGGACTACGAAGTCCGAATGCGGGTGAGTGAACTGGCTAATGACTGCAACCGCTGAATTGGCAAAAACCTCCGAAAAAGTGGCAAACCTCAGTTGATAACCGCTGGAATTCACATGTACGTGGCGACTTTGTCTCCGCAGCATAGCTGTGTGTGTGCAAGCGATGCGCTGGTGTGCGACGATACGCCTATAAAGCGAACCGGGCGATAAACATTAGTCACAAGTGCAGCGCACTGATTTTCGGGCTTGAGTCACGGTCGCCGCTCGTTGTCCGTTCCGTTTCCGGCGGCATGCGGGTGTCAATTAACTATTAATTCATTTATATTTGTACCTTCATTCCAGACCAATCTGCCCGTGTTTAAGGTAAAGGAGTCCAGCGTAAGAAGACGCTACAGCGATTTTGAGTGGCTGAGGAATGAGCTGGAGCGGGATAGCAAGGTGAGAAGGCCACTAGGAGGGTATTATGATCGTACAACCAAGTTAGAAACAAGGATTTACCAGAGAGTATCTGAACTAATCGGTGGTATTATGAGTCTGTTTTAAAAGGATCTTCAGTCAAATTTCCATCTGAGATTCACATGAATCTCGTGAGAGTTTCGTGGGGGTTTGGTCTATGAAATCCCTTTAGTTTAATTCAGAAATTCAGCAAGTTATAGTTCAAGTCCCTCAATGCATATTAAGGGAATTCTACTGTTTTCATTTTATTTTGGAACTTCATGTTCCTTTAGGGAACCGTTTAGCCTTAAAATGTATAAAGAATTTTGCGAATTAGATGCTTTTAATTACCTCTACTGCATTTATGATAGTTTTAGGACACTATTCTATTAAATTCTTTTTAAGATATGCATACATAAGCAAGAAGATACGACCAACTATCCATTTCATATTTTGACCCTCTGACTTGTGCAAAAACACAACTTAACCCACTTATAATATCTACAGATTGTGGTGCCGCCATTGCCTGGCAAGGCCTGGAAACGACAGATGCCCTTCCGCGGCGACGAGGGCATCTTCGACGAGAGCTTCATCGAGGAGCGACGCAAGGGACTGGAGGCGTTCATCAACAAGATAGCCGGACATCCGCTGGCGCAGAACGAGCGCTGCCTGCACATGTTCCTGCAGGAGAATGTCATCGACAAGAACTACGTGCCCGGCAAGATCCGCAACACATAAGGCGGGCAAAGAATCTAACCATAGCAATGCAATGAAGCAAAAACAACAACTCGAACGAACAAACCCGCTACGAAATCTTTAGGGAATCCGTGTGTATGTGCGTGTGTCCGCTTTGCGAGATCGGAGGGAGGCTATGTAAAGCGAGAGAGGAGGCGATGGAGAAGGAATCTGTTTATTTTTCGACGCGATAAGAGGGCGGATGTGCTGCTGCTCAGTTAATGTTGAGAGCCCCCTTCTCACCCCCGCGGGGACTAGTTAAAGCCAGAGCATTGGGAATTTTTAATGCTAAATTCAAGTTTATATGGTATACATTACAATATACATACATATATATATATATTATATACAATACAATATATTTACGAATAGTGTACATAATAATACATGCCTCCCGCGTCTCGACTCGCAAGGAGCAGCCCTAGCCCCTCCTCTCCAGCTTCCTGCCGATCCACTCAGTTTCTTTCTCCTTTTGACCCTTTGCAGCAGTAAGAAAGCAGCAAAACAAGTTAGGGAGCTATCCTAAACCCAAAAAAATCCGATCCCTGGAAAGTGTATGCTAATTATTGAATATTTTGAAAAAGTTTAGTGAATAATATTGTACTTCGAATCAAATTAAAATAATTGAAAAATACGTGATTACCGGAATTTTTTATTTTTACGAAGATTATTCTAAAATATCTTGGAAACTTAATTAAACTTAGTAACATCTTATGGCGGGGCTAATCATAGTCGTCACACAAGTCAAGTCTGCGTACATGTTCAAAATTTGCAGAATTTTCTATGAATACAAACTAAATAAATTCTGCAGGGCTGTGAATATAACAATGAAGAGAAACAACAAAATAAGCATTTAATTATCACTAGGGCAATTTAAAATTCAATGATTATTGCGTATTTAATTAATATTTATTTAATTTAACAATTTAATCTTATGTTAACAATATTCAGAGGAACTGGTAACACTAAAATTTTTCATAACAAGTGCTGCCAGAAGCTGAAAGAATATACAATTTGACAAGATATGGCAATGTCAGTTTTCAATTTCAAGGCGAAAAGTTATCGAACAGCTTTTCGATATGAAATATGAATGTTTATAACAATTTATAACAGAAAGTGAATCAAAGGTACTCAGACTGAGTTGGCAGCCCGCACAAAAGCAGCTGATTGCGAAAATCAAGGAGTCAACAGGAGTTGGTTTTTTGTTTTTTATTTGTTTTTGGAATGGACTCGGCGGATTCCCCCACCAAGACGCAGGCCGGCGAGGACGAGAACTACAGCCTGTTGTGCCAGGCGCACGAGCAGTTCAATAAGTGAGTCTGCCGCCCGTAACAGCCTAAACGCCGATTCACACCCATTGGTTGCCGTTTCAGCTCGGAGTTCGATCGCTGTTTGGAGCTGCTGCAGGAGCTGGAAACGCGCGGTGAGAGCAGCGGTCCCGTCCTGCGTCACAACCGGGCGGTGGTCAGTTACCACAAGGGCGGATGCACCCAGCACGCGGCTCTGATGAAAGAACTGGAGGCACTAACCGCCGATGCGGACACATCCTCGGGGGAGGCATCCAGCGGCCTGACCCTCAAGCAAGGCGCCGCAGCTGCCACAGTGGCTCGCTATAACAGGGCGGTCATCTACTATCACCGTCACATGTACGGCACGGCGCTGGAGAAGCTGGCGCCACTGGTGGCACGCCTGGAAGCGCTGGAGAAGTCGATGGCGGCTCTGGTGGCCACGCTGCAACTGCAGCTTCTACTGGCCACCAATCAGCTAAACCGCGCAGAGGCCTTCCTTGACTATTTACAGTACAAGCTCAACCTGGTGGCCACGGCGCCTAGCAGCACCCCAGGCGAGGATGCTAATGCTGCGGCCGGCACAGGATCTCCACCCGCAGCCACACCCAGCACTGTTGTAGCCACGCCAGCAGGAACAACTGTGGAGGGACCCGTTCCCGGTCTGGGCGGTAGCCTGCAGCTACTGCAACTGCTCACACTTGTACTGAATCGGAAGCCAGTGGTTATTCAGGAGGATGGAACGCCGGAGTACGCTGCTCTGAAAGCTCAGCAGTACTACATAATGAAGGACTTCCAGATGGCCGCCAAGCAGCTGATGCGCATCAATAACGAGTGCACCCAAGCCGGGTGAGTTGTTATCATTTTGAGTAAAAGGATAGGTATGATGTAAAGATATTCGTTTCAGTACTGTGACCCCTCAGCTAAGCACTTGCATCGCCAACAACATGGGCGTGATCCACCTGAGAGTTCGCCATTATGCCATCGCCGCCCAGTTCTTCCAGAATGCGCTCAATTTCGATAAGCAGCTGGCCAGGAATCTGCGCCAGAGCACGCTACAGACAATGAGTTCGGCGCGTTCGTGTGAAATTCTGTACAACCTGGGCGTGGCCATGCTGCATCTGCGCCGTCCCAAGGAGGCCTTCCAGTGCTTCCTGGTGCCCATCAAGCAGTTCCACAGCAATCCGCGACTCTGGTTGCGCATGTCCGAGGCCTGCATCATGGAGCACGAGGCGGTTAGTTCGATAATTCTTTCAATAAAAGATACAACTGCTATAATATTTATTTTCCCCACAGAAACTGGTGGAAGAGGACCGTCAGTCGCAGGCAGGAGGTGCAGCCCCAGTCTCAGCCAAGTCATATGCGTAAGTAGATCACTTTGGAACCTAGCAAAATGTAAATTTCGATTTTCTTTTAGCGCCCAATCAGCTGGAGTGCCGGAACCCACTCTGGAATTCGCCGCTTTGTGCTTGCGCAGCGCTCTAACCCTCACGCTGCACTACAAGGCCAGCTTCCACATGGCAGCAGTGTCACCGGAAGATGTAGACGCACCCGATCCAAAGGATCCGACTCAGGAGTCTTGGCGTCAGCCCCAGGACAACAATTTTTGCAATCCGTCCAAGCCAGTCACCCTAGAGTCGCTGGAGAATATGCTGGCCGCCATATATGCAGCGCACAGCTTTGTCTCCCTGCGACTTCGTGACCATGTAACGGCCCTGGAAATGGCCGAACAACTGCTGGCCTGCGAACGTCTCTCCGATGCGCACAAGTACGTAAAGTTTTCTTTTCTTATCCTTCCTAAATATGACTTATAAATCCCTTTAAGATTGCTGGGTCACATGTACGCCGGCGAAGCGTTAATGCTGATGGGCAAGGCAGCTGATGCCCGCGACCACCTAGACCCCACGTTTGTGGGTACGTTAAATGCCTATGATCTGGAGACGCGCGACTGGCAGCTCAAGTCTGTGGACGCTGCCCAAAACGTGGTCCGCTACAATCTGGCTGTGGCCATGGCCCTGCAGAACGACCTGCAGCAGGCGAAAACGCTCCTAGCCAGCCTGAACCATTCGCTGGTTGGCCCTTCCGCGCTGGCCCTGCGTCGCTTCATAGACCTCAAGATGGGACCCGTCGTTAGCGGGGCGCCCATATAGACAACAAATTGTGTACATAACTAGACGGATTCAAAGCAGGAAAATTGAATGTGGATTTGTAAATATATTGAAATGATTGACCGACGTAAAAATGGGTTCTTTAGTAGAGGAATGCCAATTAACTATTTAATACATTTAAAAGTTATGCCCCTTTCATTTACACTAAACTATAATTTATTTATTTATTAATCAGTACATGCTTATATCCCGAGTTGATCTAGCCGCATCAACCGCAGATTCAGTTTCGTAATTCTACAATTTGTTTTTGGCACTAGTGGTAGTTCTGGCTGTGATCTCCGATCCCCGATCCCTGATCCCTCCTCAGCGACGCCTCTGCTCATAGCGATTCATGGAGAGTACGATGTTGTCGAAGATGTACTCTCTTACACCCAAGCCGCAGATGAAGTCAAAGTGGTTCCAGCGCTTCCAGGGAACCTTGTAGGCGGCCTCCACGTTCGGCAGCCGGGTAAGCAGTCGCCAGATGTCCGCTGGCGCCACAATGTAGTCATTCTCCGAAAAGAACACCGTCACCGGCGTGGTCACATTCTCCAGCGCGTATTCCGGCGGCTCCAGCTGCTGATAGTGAAGCCAGTTGCGCTCCGGACCGTAGTCATACTGCCGGAAGTGCGTGGACACGTAGCCCTGAAAGTAATGCATCAGCTGCTTGACCGATCCGCCCGCGGGAAAGTTGGCCATCAGATCGGGCAGCAGGGTCTTGTTGAGGAACCTGGTGTCATAGCCCACCGCCGGCCACAAACGGCTAATGCAGACCAGCGGCTTCTCGTTCTCCAGGCAGGTCATCGACAGGAACTTCTTGAAGAACTTGTTCGTGGAGAACATCTCCACGCCCTCGAGCATTTTGGAAACGTAGTTTCGTGTGCCCAAAACCGGGCCGATGATCTTGGCAAGACCGCTCTTCGTGTTGCTAACATATGCCACGGGTGCCAGCAGAGTGGCGCTCTTGAAGACGGCATTGTACTGTGGCAGCATGGAGTTCATCACCAGGAAAACGGTGCCGCCCTGCGAAATGCCCACAAAATGGATGGCCCGTTGTCCGGTGCTCCGGAGCACATAGTCCACCTGGGCGGGCATGTCATAGACACCCATCTCGTGCCAGCTAAAGTCCCAGAACTCGCGCTCTGTGGTGTTACGCCACAAGTTCTTCCGGCAGTAGATGTTGCCCCGGTTGTTGCCTAACCACACATCGTAGCCGGCACGCCAAAGGAGATAGGCAAGGGAGTCCTCCCTACCGTTGAGGAGCCACCTGTAAGCAAATATTATGATCATTATCTATAAATTTATATATGTGAATCAATTTCAAAAAAGAAAGCAAACTTTGGAGAAGCAGAAGTTTTTATGCAGTAAATCACTTTCCAATATGTGAATTTTAATTTAATTTAATGGTTTTAGTTTTTCAACTATAAGATAAGATTATGGTTATATGTTTTTAATGAGAAATAACTAAATCATGAAAAGAACATATTTTCGGGAAGCTGAAGTTTATATACCCATGCTGTTTAAAATCGAATTATAGGTACGAGTCGGATATCATTATTTATCTATATTTTATTTCAAAATTTTTTCTCCAAATCAAAAAAACATTAATTCTATTTGGAAAACTTTCCTATGTTAGTTTTGATTAGGTTTATAAATCTGCGTACTCAATTTAAAATTATAAATATTGAGTTTTTACGAATTTTTGACAATTTTAAAAAATTTAAAAATTTTTTTAAAAATTACATTTTTGTCGGACATGGCTTAAAAGATTCGCCTGTTGTTGCTGATCAAGAATATATATAATTTATGGGGTCGCAAATGATTCCTTCACATTGTTCTAGGCTTCTGACTATAATTATAATACCATTCTTTGTATCTATATTTTTATATAAAAATATGTTCTAAAAATCAAATTTAAAAATCTCATAACTAAGCCAAAAGAACATTAATTTTAATTCCGAAACCACTCCTATGTTAGTTTGCAGTAGTTTAATAAATCTGCATACTCAATTTTAAATTTAGAAATATTAGGATTTTTATAAATTTTTTACAATTTTAACGATGTAACCCTTTATAAAATTTTAAAAATTTTGAAAAAATTAAATTTTGTGGGACATAGCTAGATCGACTCAGTTTTAGATGCTGATAAAGAATATATATGATTTGTGGGGTCGGAAACGAATCCTTTACTGCGTTTCAAGCTTCTAAATGAAATTTTAATATCTTGCAAGGGCATAATAAATATCATATAAATTCATAGTAAGGTCTAATTTAAATCACTTTTAAATATCGCAATTGTAAAATTAAATGCATTAAACTTGACTAATTAAGTGTTATCTGCATTTCATTCATTCACTAGAAACTAAAACAATAATAATAAAAATGATCCCCCACTCTATGACGAAAATAATGATAAGTAGTGAGCTCTTGACAATACTGATATGTCGCTATATCTGTTTGTTTTCCCCATGTTCTAGCGTATCTGCCGACAGCGGAAGTATCTATTTGCAAAGTATCTATTAGCATACATACACATCCGAGGAAGCGTAGAGTCCCGAGAGCAGGAAGACGGCTGGTCGCCGGAGCAGGCTTCCCCGCTCGGGATCCACCTGCGGAATGCGATGGAGGGTCAACACATATCCATCCTTGGTTGTCACCGTGTGGCGCTCCACGTTGTAGCCGTCGTTCTGGATGCGCCGCACCTGCAAGGGATACGGATACAGGTAACAGGTAACAGGTTGCGATACAACAAGTGGAGGCAGGAAGCGAAGGTAGCCGAAGGCGGGCCGAAATCCAAAATGCAAACACAAATTGTTGGCACATTTATCGCTTGACATTTGGAGGCCACGCGACGCGTGCGTTGTGACACTCTGGGTAATTAGGCATTCCGCACCCGCACCTGCTGCTGCTGCTCTGGGGTTTACCTCCTCCTACTCCCGCTTTGGAACCTTTTGGAACACCTACCGCATCTGTGATGATGATTTCGCGCGACTGACGCACTGTGGCCACGCTGGTGGCCACCTGCTGCACTGCGATCAGCGCCAGTGCCAGCAGCAGGCGCAACCGTCGCTCCCGTCGCATGCTGACCAGGATTAGGGGCCGGTAATGGTTACATGAACTGGGATTAAGTAACTGGGTAACCGATCAGAAGCCGAACCGGTCCGAAAACGAAAACGAAAGCTGCCCAAGGATCGGCAGAAAGACAGCAGCACTTTCTTTCCAGAGAGCGGAGTAGCGGCGAGCTTTCAAAAAACGCCGAAAATGAAAATGAAACTGAAGCCCAACGGGAACCGAAACCGAAACCGAGTCGTATGAATGAATATGAATGGAGGAGACTGCAATTGAGGCGGCGGCGGTACCGCTAGCGTTCGATTCGAATGTGCTTTATCGACTGCGCATGCGTCTGGGGCTCGCAGGGCTTGCCACTCGCTCGCCGGCGGAGCAGCAGCTCCGCTCGGCAGAGGAGCGGGCAGAGCTTGAGCCCCGACCGGGTGAGCCAGCCACCTGCACGGCATGCCAGCATGCCAGTCGACGCGCTCTTAGCCAGACTTGGGCCCTGGCCAGAGCGTCGCTTCTGCCTCTGTGTCTGCCGTTTTGCCGGCAACATACACTGTGCATAATATCAATTGCCGGCGCCCCCGCCTCCACTAAATTCCCGGGCAGCTACTTCCCCACCTCCACCTGCTACCCCGAAAATCCAATCAGTTGGCACGCCGCCACGGCAATTTGAGCAATTATAACAGCTTAGCGAAAGAGAGAACGCTCAACGGCATCAAAAAAATAAAATAAATAAAACTGTCACCGCTGCTTACAGTGGGCGGCATCGCAGAAACAACCTTAAGATTGAGATTAAATTCGTCAGAAGAAAGTGAAATTGACCTTGTCTCTAAAAAGTCTAAGCAACACTTTACTTTTCTAATTAAAATTATATTGCAATAACTACAAAAGCTACAGCTACAAAATAAGGAAAGACAGATTAAATTTTTCCAATCTTACAAACAATCTCAAGTTGAAATTAAGTTTATAAGAAGAAAGTGAAATTGACCTCGTCTTTCAAAATAAATGTAGTAATACTTAATACTTAATACTATTGCTACATATAGTAAAGCTATTACGTACAAGTGTATAAACTCTTCAAAACATCTTTAGAATGTGATTAAATTGACCTTGTATTTCTTATTATTTGATTAGGCATCTCTTACTAAAACTTTGCTTAAAATGAAACCTAAAATTTAATTAATTAATTGGTAGTTTAATTTAATATTGTTGAGCGAGCGGTAAACTGTATTAATTCCAGATAGGATTAAGTCTATAAGCTGCTGAACAATAGCAGAAAGTTTAAATGACCTTGTCTCCGTGTGTTATTGAAGCAAGCTTAAATTAAATATATATATATACATATTTATCTTTGCGGTTTGTAAAAGAATGATTAAATCTAACAAAAAGCGTTTAATCTCCAATGGAAATAGTTCGATGACTCTGAATATTTTATTTTCCCCTATTAACCATATATGGTATAGGTATACCCAAGTTTTAATACTATTTAAATTAAGTTTTGAAATTGACAATTCAGATTCTTAATCATTTTAAATTGTTATACTTTTGTTATTTAATAATATTAGCAAATAAATTTACTCTGTAACAAATTTCCATAGTTATTTAATATTTAAATAAATCTTTCCCAACTCCAACTTTTTTCGAAGAAAGTGATTCATCGCATCTCCCATGATTTGACACCTTATAGCTTTGAAATCTGTTCAATCCGATAGAATTTGTGAGATAAAACCTGAGTTTCCCATTCAGGGCACATCGAACTCAGAGATAAAGAGAGAGATAAATACACCCAATAAGCCCAACAATGTGAACAATTACCGAGCCGTTAAATGTTATGCACATCACATACAAGGCATTCATAAGACACAATTGCTTTTTGAGCAGTGTATTAATTTTTTTGAGCTACTTACTTACAGTTTTTTTTTATATTTTTATTTTTGACTCTGTCGTGTGGCTGTTGCCTTTGGTTTTTTCGTTTTTCGGTTTTTCGTCGCATTGTTGTCGTCGTCGGGGGGGCCTTTTTTTCGCTGAATTGCAATAACCTGTTGCCTAATGAAAACGGCGTCTGCTTATTTAGGATGTGGCCGGGCCAAGTACTTGCCAACATACCTACTTGCCAACATATCCGTACCCGTACCTATACCTATACCCCTCCGGGCTACCCATAGACGTGGTCGTCTCCTCTGGTGTTTATGTTTGCTCACTTGAAAGACAATCGACGGCAGTGCTCCCCCCACCGTCCGTCCATATGCCAGCTCTCACAATTCATTCAGTGGAGCGATGGAGAGCTTTCTGTTTGTTTATATGGCTTTTTAATAGCTCGTCAACAGCTGCATGTGCCAGGGGTTGAACTCATAGCCACTACTGCTGTGCACACGGCTTCTCTTCGAGCTTCGTTTCATCAATGGGGACGCTGGACCGCTCCACTGGCCCACTGGCGGCATTGACCCACCACCGGGAGCACTATCAGCGGTCTCACCGGACTCACGTACCGCACGAAGACGATGGAACATGGATCTAGTGCACCGCCATGGGTAGTGAGCAGGTAAGTTAACTTGGCTTTATGCCAAGGTATTGCTTATCAGCAATTTTTATGCTCTTATCTAAACAGTAAAGTGATGGATTGCAGTTAAATTTAAGTAAAAGAAAAATGCTTGGATATATATTTACTTTTATGTGTATTTATATTTTCTTCATATTTATTAGCTTTGTAATTTCAAGGGTTTTCCCCTTAACTCTATTGATTTTCATTTGAATAAAGGCATGCATTGTTAGCTTTATCTTAGTTGTTTAAAGGTTTATTTGATTTTGATTTTAATATAATCTTTACACATCGAGATTTGACTATATCCCAGATCACATACAGATCGTCTGTCAAAATATTCCACAGAGAATACGAACTATATGTCTTAACAAACTTTTAGCTTGTCCCAGAATTAATACCTGAAAATTTCCAATACAACAAACTAAATTAAGCTTAAACTAAGCTTAAATACATGTTGTGCCCCACCTTGGCCTACCTTTCCCATCCCTTCCCCCCTGCTGGGCAAAGGTAAAACCCAAGGCAATTTACTTATGTACACATGATTATGGCTCACATCTCAAATGTCCATTTGTTTGGCGTTAAAACAGTTTACGCTAATTCCTATTGTGACACATACGACAGTGTTTGACGCGGCGGATCAAGTAAACTCTGTGGTTAACTGGTTTCGACAATTAAACGTTAAGCATTTTAGCAGTTTCGGGGTATTTCGGGCTATGAAAACGAGACAGTGTCTGGGGACAGGGTCCGGGGGCTCCACCTTGTTTGGCTTTCTTTCACTTTCTGCTAATGGATTCTATGTAATTGAAGGCCTTCAGCTAACACACACTCTCCATGTCGCACTCCATTGCCAAATATGTTTGTTTGTTTACCTCCTCGGCCAGAGATTGCTGTAATCAAAGGGTATAAGTTATTATATAAACACGGGTATGGATAACAATCGGTAATTAAACGATGAGTTCATATTTCATTTATCTAAGTGAGATGTTTATTGCCCTTTTTACTTGTGACTCAAACCGTAACCAACGATACTGTTACCCGATCTTAACCGATTCAATTTCATAATCTTGGAAAAAGGGGGGAAAACGCTTTCAGAAATCTGCATATAAAGTAGCGCTTTTTGGGGTATTAGTATCGTTAAATTTATGTTTTTAAGATGGGTATATATTTAATTATTTTTATTATATTTTTATAAACTAATTTCTATTTTTTTTTTAACTTTCCTTCTTTTGACAATATGTTAAGGAAATGCTTCAAGCTTTAAAGATAATATCTACCATATATATATATTATAATATTACATTAGAAACTAAATTATAAAGATATCGTTATCATTAGATATTAATTTTTTTAAAGGGTATTTAGATTTCATTGGTTTAAATGCGGAAAACCCATTTGCTTGTTGGAGTCACTCACCGTTGACAGTTGCGTGGCGTGAACTTTGTATTGAACTTGAAACTCTGATACTCCAGCTGGACAAGATCTGCATAATGCATAAGATGGCTCGGCCTGAGTGTGTGTGGCGGTCACAAATCAAAGGCTGTTTAGCTTTTCCGCCGAACAATGAGCTGACATTTCACTTTGAGTGCTGCTGCTATGTATGCTTTCTGATATGCATTCGGTTGCGTTTTCTTTTTTTTCTTTCGTATTTCGATTTAATTTTTTCGCTTTTCCTTACCCGGTCCTCTGTGGAATTGCCCTCTGACTTCCGGTCCCATGGCGTTTTTTATCTGAACCAATAAGGGCGCTTATCGTCAATTCGCTGCCATCCGCGATGTCGTCTTTGGGTCATAAATCGAAAGTGATTGAGGTCTGCACAGCGAAAAGTTGTGACGAAGAAAATGTACTCGATAAAAAGTACCCTTTCTACTTTAAAGAATGATTTATGGTTGATTTAATCGCGAATTTTTTCACTCGAAATGCATTCTTTACAAATTTAGTTGCTTAAAGTGTGATTTATGCTTGATTTAATCGCAAATTTTTTTTACTTGAAATGCAATCTGCAGAAATTTAGTTGCTTTTATTTTTACATTATAATGATTATTTCCAGTATCAAAACTCGTAAGAAAAAATATGCTCATTCATCCATTGGGATTTTTTCCTTTATAGCCTGTTAATTCCCTTTATAGTTTCACAAGTAACAACACATAATTTACATAAACATTTTTTTTTTAAAACCCTCCTTAAACCTACTTATAGTTTAACTCTTCCCACCCATTTTTTCCCGTGTAAGGCAAAAGTGACTAAGACTGACTGTCACCACAGGTCGCTGCTTTATGATGGGTTTGATGATTAAGATTAGCCGTCCGCCGGGTCAGTGTGCTAATCCGGCGCTAATTGTTTCTTGATGCGTTTGTAACCAACTTCCTAACCAGGCAGAGAAAAAACCCGGAGACGTCACAGACTTCGCAGACAACCGCCGGCCTTGGCCAGGAGGCGGCGTCCCCTGTCTACCTGGACGAGTTGCTAATTACCCGACTCGGGACCATGCCCGCTCCTGCCCGGCTTGTGTTCAATATTTACAACTCCCGGTTTGTGGGTCGTAAAACGCAAATAGCCACAAATAAAACTGAGAAACTGAAAGCAAAATCAAAATAACAAAAAGCCGCCTTCCCGCGTCTGCGACGACAACAAAAGGAACCAATGCTGAGAGGCATCGGCTTCGGCATCGGGAGGAAGTGCCGACGTTTCGTCATGACTAAGCGTGGTTACTCAAAGGGAAACCAATTGATTCCTTCCTGTTGCCGTCCACTGTCCACTATCCACTTTCCTGGGTCTACGACGAATCCACCGCAGAGCCACGACTGCAATAACAAAATCTAAATATTTAACGACTAAATTGAAACTGAAGGCGCGCGCTAGCTCACTCACTCACATCAGGCAAATTTTCCAGGCCCAACTTGGTCAGGCTGGATGGGGTTAGCCTGCTGGCATAATCAATAAAAGATAAACAGTGGGCCGAGCGACTCTACAAGCCCATTGAAATGGCTACATCACGTAATGGAAAACTTTACAGGGAAATCCCACACAGAAAATTGAGAAAAACCTCCAAGCAACTACCACACACTACTATGTAGCGAGTAGTCTGCACAGAGAGAAAGATAGGTAATGATGATGGGAGGGATATATTACTATGATCCTATATCCATATCGTATTACATGGATTAAAACGAAAATAGTGGAGATCTTAAACAGCTTTCCTAACATTAAATAAATGAGATTGCTAATCAATTAATATGTTTTATTACATCAAATCTAATTTCGAACTAGAAAACTTTGTTATATTTGTAACCCCTGAGGTTTTAATTACTCAAACATATTATTAAATATTGAAATGCAATTAGTCCTTTTGGTTCTGTGTATTCCCCATGTGTGAGTACCACTCCGAGTAGGTAAGCCACAGTGGCTCGGTCGATGTCGTTGTCAACGGTCGTACGGAGAAGTTTGGGCATTCTGTCAGCCCGCAAGTAGTTGGTCTTCCGAACAGACCATCAGCCATTCAGTCACAGACGGGAAAGACCCCCGTGGACGGACCCCGATGCCCACAGATGCTGGAGGGGCACTCCGACGTTGCCTCTACTGCTGGTGCATCCATTTGGATTGGACTGACTTAGGCGAAACAAATCATTCACAAACAAACACTCAGGTTCCTGAAAATTGATTCGAAGCAGCTGTCATTGGAGGAATTACCAAGGAAAGCTAATTCGATGGAATAGTAATTGAGTTTGCAGGTGTTTTAAATTGATTTTATTTATTTTCATTGATTACCTATTTATGTAATTAAGCAATATTATAGAGTATTACTTAAGCAACATTAATTTTGATATTGATACCCTTGGAAAAGTATACTTATTTAAGTTAGAAGCCACTAAAGCAGTGAAGGAATCATTTCCGACCCCATAAATCATATAGATTCTTGATCAGCATCAAAAGGCAAATCTTTTAAGCCATGTCCGAGTAAAATTTATTTTTTTCAAAATTTTGAAATTTTTATAAGGGGTTACATCGTTAAAATTTTGTAAACTTGATAAAAATCCCTATTTTTTTCATTTAAAATTGAGTATGTAGATTTAATAAACTACTAAAAACTAACATAAGAGTGATTTCCGAATTAAAATTAATGCAGTTTTGGCTTAATTATAAGATTTTTAAATTTGATTTGTAGAACATATTTACATATAAAAATATAGATATATATTGGATTAAAGAATGGTATTATTATCATAGTCAGAAGTCTAGAACAATGTGAAGTAGTCATTTCCGAACCCACAAATCATATATATATTCTTGATCAGCATCAACAGGCGAATCTTTTAAGCCATGTCCGAGCAAAATTAATTTTTTTTCCAAATTTTGAAAATTTTATAAGGGGTTACATCGTTAAAATTGTCAAAATTGATAAAAAGTTTAATATTTTCAAATTTTAGTTTGAGTATGCAGATTTATTAAACTAATAAAATCTAACTAAGAAAAGCTTACCAAATCAAAATTAAAGAATTTTTGACTGAGCTTTGATAGATTTTCTCTGTACAGATATAGCAAATTCTGTTTCTTAAATTAAGCATCTTTTATTGATTCAATTCAATTCAAGATTCAATTCACTGCATACTATGTGATATTTAAATTTACTAATTATACTTTACTCTAGACATTTCGGATTAAGAATTAACTTTAGCAAACTCATTATACAAATGTGTAATTATATGTATTTCATTTTCAATTTATATGATATTTAAATACCGATTATATATGATATCAAATATTTGGTTAGCCTCCACCTTCTGGGCCCTTATTGTTCTTGCTCTCTTTTGTATTGGGAGGCTCTTGTGTTGAACCAAATAAACAAGAAAGAAAGGGGATCAACTGGAGGGGCTGGGGCAGGGCAGGGGCAGAGGTGCCCTAGGTAGATCCCGGCCAGGCCGAGTGACCGGTGTGAAGAGGTGGAAAGAACGCCTGCGAGCGAATTGGCTGTTGCCTGGCACAATGAGAGCTCGATGTCGATGACGATGATGAAGACGATGTGCCTGCCACAGCCAAGCCAAAATGTTGGTGTGCTCTGCTTGAGTTTCCTATAGTATTTTCTATATACATACATATGTGTGTTTGTGTTTGACTTTGCTTTGGTTTGGGGGCCGGCGCTTGGCACTTACACTTATCAGAGGACCAACACATGGAGTACCGCCAGCCCACTGACTACTTTGGCCGCAGAAGCCGCCTGCTGCCAGGCCCTATTATTACCCCAAAGCAAATAAAGTCAAGCACTGCAACATTGGATCAAAGCACTGGGGAAAAATCTGTGTAAGAAACATAAGGAAATTCGAGGAAACCTAACATGAATCGAGGTATGGAAATTTGAATAAAATATATACCTTGTCTCTACTAATACTCAACCTATAAAAGTTTAATATAATTTTCGATAAACCTATGCACTTTTCCCTTCAGTGCAGGTAGGCAAAGGCAGAGGCAGCTGGAGAGGGCAAGATGCATCAGTGGCCGGGGCAGGCAGCGACGTCGTCATCGATATACGAGCTCGGCACATGCATTGCCTTGCCTTGACTGCTGCCTGCCTGCTGCCTGGCCCAGCGGCAACAACACGAGCAACACCAGCAACACAAAAGCGGCAACATGGACGGCAACAGCGACGTCGACAGCAACAAGACTCACACACAAAATTCCAGAGCGCACGCGTTCTCAACTTTAGTTCTTGGCGAGAAACCAACGCGTTCGGTTGTCGGAGGTGCGTGGTCTTTAATACAAAAAGCAGCTGGAATCGAAGTTATTCGAAAACCCATCAACATCAGCAACAGCGGCAGCAGCTGAAACTGAAACTCTTCAGAACAATTGCAGCTGCAGACGTATCTGCAACGCAGTATCTGTGCGCATCCCGTGTATCTTTGTATCTCAGTATCTTTATATCTGCGTATTTGTGTGCTTGTGCTTGTGCCTGTGCCTGTGCCTGTGTCCGTGCGTGTTGGCCAAACTGGAAGCGACAACCTAATCAATCAGTCACTCAATATGGCCATTTCTAAGAGCCGCCGCGGCAGCTGCTTCTCCTCAAGGAACACAAACAGGCTGCTGGTGCCCAGCCCTCTGGATCTTCACCTGGGAAGCCTGCTCTTCCTGGCTCTGCTGGCTTCGTGCTCGGCTCTGACAAGTGAGTATATTCCAGACTCAGCTCCATCATCCTCATCATCATCATCGTCATCATCATTATCATCTCGTGATTGTCGTCGTAATCACTTGTAGTTGCGGTCGCATCAGGCCTTTGACTTATATATCTGCCGTTTGCCGTTGGAGAGGAGACTCTTCTTTGGCTTTGGCTTTGGCTTTATTGCAATTTTCCTCGTTTGCCAGCGATTTGCGATTTTTGCGATATTGCCTGGCATAATTCAAAGAGTTCGCTCGCTGCAGTATGAGCGTAATTATGCCACTGCCGCGGAAGAGGCGACACCAAAACCGCAATCCCTACTTGTATCTCTCCCCATGCTACATGAAAACGGTGGCAATTGGGTGTCAGATAAATGGCCCCATCGGCACATGCAACTTTAATTCCAACTCCATCGCCGTGCGAAAGTTCAATAATGTTTGGTAACAGGCCAATTGAGGCGGTCACCACAGTTCAAGTTGTGCGATAAACCCAAGATAGCCACCGCTATCGTCCAGAGGGATTGTGGTCTTCCAGAATGTGGGAGAGTTTCATGAGTAGCAGATATCGCCAGTGGGGTGAACAAACCCATATCAGTATATTAAATTAGTAACGGACTCCGGCAAAGGATCATTGATCATCATCTGATGGCGTGTGTTCCCCTGTGTTAAACATGTAATTTCTCTCACTTAAACATGCATTTTGGGTTTGAAAAACATAATTTCTTACGCACATAATTCCATTCCTAGTCCCAAAACAAAAAGAGGGACTGACAGATGACACTGGCCTGGTTTTGGACCTCTGCCACTGCCACTGCAGGCTGCGTGGCCAAACACACACACGAAAAGAAGGAAAAATCGATTTTCTTTTTGTTTTATTTTCTCTAAACTCCAAATGCCATTTTCCTCATTTGGCTGCCGCTTTGTTTTCATTTCGTGCGGCATGCTTTGTCCCATTTTAAGACCCTAAGACAGACTCTCGGACGCTTGTCATTCGTTCCCAAGGGATTGGGATTGTGAATAGGAATAGAAATGGGCATGGACCGCCCATGCATATCTCAGGCAGGGGCATCTAATAATTCTGCCTTTCCAAGAATCGAGTTGCATCTGAGGAAAGGGGCTGCAGTGGATGTCTCCTCATAAATAAGCCAGCTACTTTATAGGCATAGAATGCGACAGGCTGGGCGGGTTGGGTTGCCCGGCCTGGTCTCGTTGCTTTGTTTATTTGGTTACTAATTTGGGATTCCTCGATTGCTGGTGTGTCTGGTGTGTATAGTGTGTGTGTCCGGAATGTTAATCACTTGGCGGCATTTTGAGTAATGGGCGCGGGCGGACGTCCCGGATGAGAATTTGGGTTCCCGAAAAATGGGAGCCGCGTTTGTGAATGAATGTGTGAGAAAGTGGCTAGTGCCTCTGATGACAGCCATGATATGAATGGGCCATATCGGAGTCCGCCATATCGATGCGGCTTGCCAACGGATTGAGTGTCTATCGGAGACGGACGCCTATAAAGAACCCATCCCAGAGGCCTAATGGCAATCGTGAGGAATATGGATCTCATATTTGTTTATTAGTGCGTTGAGGGGGAAGTTTATCAACATAACGGGTCGGCGACTATTAACATCGTTCGAAAATACATTTGATTAATTTTCGGTTTTAAATGCATTTTTCATAATTTCCTGGGGGAAAGTTTTGAAGTAGAAGTTCTATCGATTTTGGGTTGGGTACTTAAAAGGGCGTGCTCTTAATTTTGTGTTTTTCTATTTGTGGAGAAAGAGGAGCACAAATGTTATTATAGAGTAATATCAAGAGTAATTAATTTGTTATTTTTGTGTATTTTATTTAGTAAAATCAGTTTTAAAGAAAACAACGTTTTCCCAATGTTTACTGAAAATAAATTTGTATGTGTAATACAGAATGTGTATTTATTTATCCATTGAAGTGTAAGCTGCTTCATTAGGCAATTCTATTTAGTTTAGCCCTTTAGTTTTATTTTGTTTCAGTGGCTATAAAAGCTATAGCTAGAGCTAAATAAAAACTTACATACAAAATTATTTTATAAAATAATATTATTAAGTCTGTACACCTCAATTTCAATTTTTTTTTATAGAAACTAGGCAATGTGACATATAATCAACAAATACAGAGTATACCATAGTTGAGCATTAAAAATATATATTTATATATGTATATATATATATATATATATATATATATTTATTTATCTACATTTTACACAATTGTATTTTACATGTATATAACAAAACTGGCGCTCCCATTCACCACTTTACTTAATTTCCGGAAATGTATACATTCGTACAAAATTTTTACATGCAGTTTGGTTTGTGAACTAGCTGTGATTTCGCGTTTTTCTTCTTCTAAGTATTTAAATTAATCTTAATTTATTGTATTTAATATTAATTCTTGATTTTAAAAAATTATTGATTTATTTTTAGTCGAGACCACAGAAGTCCCAGAAGTCAACGAAGTCACCACGATAATTCCAGCTCAGATCGAAGAAAGCTTACCCACTCAGACTTCAACAAATCAAAATGATACGACCATTTCTGGATATCCTGTAGAGAATCCCCAGGCGGATACAACTAATCCTGTTTTTTTTGTTCAGTCCAGTGAAGCGGAAGTACAAGATAGCTTTGTATCTGTCTACGGCGGTAACCTGGAACAGGATATAAAGAACGATGTCAACAGCGAGGTGGAGGAAGCACCCTTTCCAGAGGAATCACTTAAAGAAACTGTTCCAAAAGTGACAGAGATTTCAGCACTAGAAACGGAGAATCGGGAAACTGAAGGTGAGTCATAATTCGTTATTGGTCATTTGAAAAAATTATAAGTCTAAACCTTTTCTCTTAGCTGCCGTCCAAAATGCCCGTGAACCCAAGACTCTTGAGTCACCGGAGACGGAGGGAAATCTTGCGCCAGAGGCCCAAGCGGAACCGGAAGCAGTAACGGACAACATTGCCATGGCCAGTGAGCAGGACGACCCGGACTCCCTGAGTCTCAATGAAGAACGGGCCATCACTGAACAGCCCATCACCAAGACTAACCTATTGGCATTGGAGCAAGAGCACAAGGCTGTCGAGGGCGAGAACACCGGCACTCCGATCCCCACTTATGAGGAGACCAAGCACCAGGTGACCAAGAAACAGGGCGTGGAGGACCTGCTGCCTATCGAAGAGGCCCCTGAAGTTGTAGAACAGTTAGAAAGTGCCCAGGAGGAACGCCAGTCTGAGGAGCCCAATCCGAACATAAACGAGATCGATGGAAATACTTCAGAGGACGTAAAAGCAATTCCAAATACTTTCTTCAAATCTGCTAGTGAGCTTCAAGAACAGATCGAAAAGAAGTCTGAGGAAGAAGCCAAGGCGGAAATAGAAAAGGAAGTGGAGGGCACAGCTCAGCCACAGGAGACAGTAGTGGAGGCAGCAGAGGCTGAGGATTCACAACCTGACGAAGAGGAAGTTGTTCTTGAAACCACGCAGATGAGTACTTTTGAAGAGACAAAGCCAATAGAAGAGGATCTCAAGAAAGATGAACATAATGGAGAGCAAACCAAGGATAAGGAAGAGGAGCCTAAAGAAGAGGAGCCAAAAGAAGAGAAGTCTAAGGAAGAGGAGACAACGGACGAGGAACCTACGGAAGAGAAGCCTAAGGAAGGGGAGCCTATAGAAGAGGAACCTAAGGAAGAGAAGCCTAAGGAACAGGAGGTCAAAGTGGAAGAAGTGGAACATAAGGAAGAGGAGCTGAAGAAAGAGGAACCACAGGAAGAAGTTCACCACATCGATGCAGAAGAGCCCATCATCCCAGCAAGTCCTAGCTCCACTCAAAATCCAGTGGAACAGGAAGTAACACCAAAAACTGATGCGGAATCCGTAGAAAATAAAGAAGAAGAACCTGAATCTGTGGAGGATAAGGAGAAAGATCAAGAAGCATCGGAGCACAAGGAAGACCAAAACGACTCCAACTCAGACTCCTCCTCGGAGGAGGAGACACACGAGCCCGCTGCCGATGAAGCCAAGCCCTCCTCCACCGACGACAGTACAGCTACTCCGCTGGTGTCCTACCCCCCGCACGATGCTGGCCAGACCTTTGATAGTAACTCGGCGGACGAGCACTCTGCCCAGCTCTCGGGTCCTTCCAATTATAGATCGACCTTGATCATCGCCCTGTGCTCCGGCACCGCGGTGATCTTCATCGTGGCCTCGCTGGTCATTTTCGTGGTCTCGTTTCAACGCCAACACGGCACCCTGGACATTGAGATGCAGGAGCAACGCCTGGGCAAGGACGATCGCGACGAGGAGGACGCTCAGGTGAAACTTCTCGAGGTGGATCTATCGACTCCCGTTATTGTATCCCTGGGCAACGAGGAGACGGACGAATGCCTATAGGATTTCTCCCGGCACTGGAAAGTGGATCACCTTGGAGATCCTTTGAGGAGGTCCTTTGACCTCGGTGCACTGTAAATAGCTATTGACCCTAATATTTCGACAAAGACTTGTTCACTTTGGTTTCTAAATTGTTGACTGAGAGAAGCTGCAAGCAAATCGAACGAAAAGCGAATCGAAACATCATTTGCCATACTGTTTAATTTTAAATACACTCTAGCCCCTAAGAATTGCAAAAGCTCCACAAATATTTATGTTTAAACATTTTCATTAGAGTTAGGAACCTTTTTTATTGTGTCTGATAAGAAGTCAGAATAAATATTTTCAATTGGTCAACATTTTGTTTTATTTATAAAATTATCTGTAAGAAGCTGGCAATCTATATATTATAATATATATTCTATTTCTAATTTGGAAAGATTAAGACGAGTAAAATACGAGCTTTTTAAATTTCCAAGGTATTTGTGCCCTTTTACATCGTCTTCATTTCCTAGAAATAAATAGACATGTTTCCGAATAATTTTCCTGGAAGATGCTAACTCTGCTAAATTGTTTTCTAGACAACAGTCTATAAATAAGAGTAGTTAATAGGACACTTAATTAGTATCTCTCTATTTATCACAATGGCATCATTTAAACTTTTTCTGCTCCTTATCGGGCTGTGATCAATTAACCTTCACAATGGAAAACGGAAGCTGCGACATCGTGGGTGGCCATGGGGATACCATTTGCAATATAACGATCTGCGCGGATGGGGTGGCCATGAAGGGCGTCTATTGTGGACGAGGTCCTTGCAACATTTTCGGCTGCAACTGCGACGGCGGATGTATTACCGGCGAATGGACCAAAAGCTTTTTGGAAAAGAATCACCAATACGGCATTAAGATTATACTTGTTTAGTGGTCTCTCCATTTATATAATCTTGGGTATTATAATTTAAGTCAGAAGTCAGAAGCTTGTTACAATGTAAAGTAGTCGTTTCTGACCCTATAAATTATATATTCTCGATCACCATCAAAAGGTAAATAAATCTAGCCATCCAATCTAGATTAGTATAATAGTAATATAAAGCCGTTATAGTCGTCATGTAGAAATACTATATTCTTAGTAAATCAAAAGAAATGATGAGATGCATATATCATATGCGATAAACATGATACACTTTTGACTTTGCCCTTCTGTGATATTAAATTTGTGACAGTAAAATTGATTTTTCAGATTGATTATCTGAGAGTTTGATTACTTCCTTCCAAATATCAAATATCTTCCATCAATCCTTATCTCTGTATTATTATTTAATTTTCCAAGGAAAAAGTACTAAGTACTTTTAGATCAGACAGATTCCCGTTAAAAATTACAATACTATTCCCTAATAATTTTCCTTATCAATCATTCCTTGTCTGTTAATTAAAATTAACATTTTCGAGGATTTACGGTTTGTCCCATAACATAATCTCAATTCCCAAGAAATATATATACAAAATGTTTCCGTTTGTCGATTTGTGCAGATGGGATGGCCAAAACGAGCGCCTTTTGTGGACAGGGTGCTTGCAACATCTTCGGTTGCAACTGTGACGGCGGCTGTCGCACCGGCGACTGGAGCAGGAGCTTCAAGCAAAGGAATAAGAACTACGGAATCGATGTTTCAACAGTATCCTGGATCGCATTTCCTATTTAGTGTGCACATATAGCTATATAAAAAACGCTTTGCTTTTAGATTATTTTTTAGAGTAATAACGATCTAAATAAAAGACGTCAGAGTTGTTAAGTAATTTGTAAACTGGTTTTATTAGGTGTGAGTCCTAACTAATCTGATACTCGTAAAACTACTTATCTTAGAGCCACACAATTTATATAACTAAACCCTTGTACTTCACATTTACTGTCCAATATTGCGGTGAACTTATTGACAGCTACAGTGTTTTTATTTGTACAGAAAATGCTGTGGTACATGATAAAAACAATTTTCATTATTTGTTTTGTCAAAAGTTTTGACTCAAACCCCTTTAAATTAAAAAAAATGACCATAAACAATGCCAACTTATTTTTAGATTTATCATGCAGTTTAATATTCATATATACGAAACCCCGAAAACTGTCTATAAATAAGAATATCTCCTGGCAAATATCAACAGTTTCTGTCTATATCTCACTATGGAATCAACACGAGTTTTCCTGCTCCTTATTGGGATATGCTGGTTAACCCTCATACGAAATTCGGATGCTGAGTGCTGTTATTCATCAAGAGGCTGGTGTGACGATGGAAAGTTCGTGAGAGCACAATATTGTGGAAAGGGTAAATGCAACATCTTCGGTTGCAACTGTGACGGCGGCTGTCGCAGAGGAACCAGGAACTCTTAGATTGAAAGAAGAAGCATTGAAGAATAACATTTATGTACATATATGTATGTGTTAGAAATATAACTAAAAAGCAGTAGCATGTGAAGAACTCGATGAAGAAAGCTACGAACCGGTAGAATCGGTAATAAATCCAGCAAAGACAAAAAACTCCAAACACTTTCACTGTGCTGCAGGTTTTAATTCTGAAAAGCCAACAAATGCCATTGTCAACGAGGTTTGTGGTTTGGGATTTGTGGAGTGTGCCAGTGGGTGTCATTTAACTGCATGGAGAATAAATAAATCTAACTGTATTCAGAGCCAAACTTCTTTTGAGACCGGCATTGGCCACACGTCCCTTGAGCGAACGCACCGCCATGCTGGGCAGGCAGCCGCAAGACAACACGTTTATTCCAGCTCAGATCGAAGAAAGCTTACCTATTATGTGTTTTTTAAATATAAATGTTTTAAAAACTAAATGAATAAATGCATGCGAGTTGGGTAAATTCCACATTCCTACTGTGAGTAATTAATAACATCTCTGTTAATTTGAGATAAGCTCCTGAAATACTTACAATATCTATAATACAAATTTTTTAATTGTATAATAGTAAATTAGAGCCGTTTTAGTTGTCATGTAGAAATACTATATTCTTACTAAATAACAAGAAAGGAAGCTAACTTCGGCACGCCGAAGTTTATATACCCTTGCAGATAGAACTTCTATGAATAGGAATCCATGGAATATAAATTATATATATTTGTGTTAAAAAACAATGAAGTAATACCAGCTTTCATTTCATTCACCTATACATATTATATTTGCAGTTTTACATTCACAGATTTGCATTTTTAAGGAAATTTGCCACAAAATTTAAGACTTATATAGAATGGCTATACCTCAAATTTGATGAAAATCAGCTGAAAACTAAAAAAGTTATAAATTTAATTGTATTAATTTCTCGATCGTTCCTATGGGAGCTATATGATATAGTAGTCCGATTTTCATAAAATTTTACACAAAATGTTAGAATAATATTAAATGGCGATATTTCAAATTTGATTAAATTCTGTTGAAAACTAAAAATGTTATCGCCACCGCGATTGTCAGTCTTCCGACAACAGCCACCGCCATTCTCATTCCTCTCAAATTTCTCGATCGTTCCTATGGGAGCTATATGATATATTAGCCCGATTTTTTACACAAAATTGTAGAATAATATGAAACGGCTATATTTCAAATTTGATGAAAATCTGTTGAAAACTGAAAATGTTATACTTATTAATTGAATTAATTTCTCGATCGTTCCTATGGGAGCTATATGATATAGCCGTCCGAATTTCATAAAATTTTACACAAAATTGTAGAATAATATGAAATGGCTATATCTCAAATTTGATCAAATTCTGTTGAAAACTAAAAATGTTATAATTTTTTTTGGAAAACTTTTCCGATCATTCCTATGACAGCTATATGATATAGTCGTCCGATCCGGCCCGTTCCGACATATATACGAGTGAGAGTATATAGAAGACTAACTGCAAAGTTTCATTCAGATAGCTTCAAAACTGAGAGACTAGTTTGCGTAGAAACGGACAGACGGACAGACGGACATGGCTAGATCGACTCGGCTGTTGATCCTGATCAAGAATATATATACTTTATATAGTCGGAGGTGCCTCCTTCACTGCGTTGCAAACTTCTGACTGAAATTATAATACCCTGCAAGGGTATAAAAAGAAATGATGAGAAGCATATATCATATGCGATAAACATGATGAAGACTTTTGACTTTGCCTCTCTGTGATATTGAATTTGTGACAGTTTAATTACTTATTGCCAAATAGCAAATATCTGCCATTAATCCTTATCTCTGTATTATTATTTAATTTTCCAAGGAAAAAGTACTAAGTACTAAGTACTATGATTAGACTAAGTACTAAGTACTAAGTACTAAGATTAGACAGATTCCTGGTTAAAATTTGCAATACTATTTCCTAATAGTTTTACTGCAATGTGCTGACTCTGCTAATTTGTTGGCAGTGTGCAGCCTATAAATAAGAGTAGCTCACGGGATTTTAGTCAGTTCCTGTATCATTTTACGATTGAAACTAAACTTTTCCTGCTTCTCATCGGGATGTGCTGTCTGACCATCGTCAGACAGGCCCGTGCTGAGTGCTGCACTTCCTTTGAAGAAGTGACCTTCGGTATGGAAAGAGGCATATGCGAGGCAGTTGGGGGCAATCTCGATGACACCGCCTGCCAAGTGATCATCTGTGCGGATGGGGTGGCGAGGAAGGGCGCCTACTGTGGACGAAGTCCTTGCAACATTTTCGGTTGCAACTGCGACGGCGGATGTCTGACTGGCGATTGGAGCGAAAGTTTCATGGAAAAGTATCGGCAATACGGAATTAAAATAATTGATATATCGCGATCTCCCTATTTTTGAAAAATATAAAATATGTAATTTTATCAGAATAAAAGGTATATTTCGCATACGAATTGGGTACACTGAAACTCAATAATTACTAATGATTTAGTGTGTACTTCTTACTGACAGCGAAAGGCCTAAGGTATTCTAAATATATGAAGAATATATGGGGCAATATAAATCCAGTTTAGCTTAGTGACTGAACCAGGGTATACGAAGATTCTATAAGGTTAAGTTTTTGATAAGATGTATGAAATGAGATTTACATTTTAATTTATTTTTTATGTTAGTTTGTTGAGTTGAGAGCTATACTTATCAATCTATCCTTATCTGTTAATTAAAATTAACATTTTCGAGGATTTACGGTTTGTCCCTTAACATAATCTCTATTCCCAAGAAATATATATACAAACTGTTTCCGAATAATTTTTCAGCAATTTGCTGACTATGCTTGAATGGAATAGCCCCACCGTAAATAAATCAGTTCCTCCCTAAATCTCATCATGGAACCATCTAAAAATTTCTTGCTCCTCATCGGGATCTACTGCGTAACCCTCGTAAGAGAGGTACATTCAGAGTGCTGCTCCTCTTATGCGGAAATCAATTTTAGAATGGAAAACGGAAGCTGCGATATGGTAGGTGGCACTGGAGACTCCATCTGCGACGTGTCGATTTGTGCAGATGGGATGGCCAAAACGAGCGCCTTTTGTGGACAGGGTGCTTGCAACATCTTCGGTTGCAACTGTGACGGCGGCTGTCGCACCGGCGACTGGAGCAGGAGCTTCAAGCAAAGGAATAAGAACTACGGAATCGATGTTTTAACAGTATCCTGGACCCCATTTCCAATGTAGTGTGCACATATAGCTATATAAAAAACGCTTTGCTTTTAGATTATTTTATACAAAGTTCGAAAGTAGCGTAATAACGATCTTAATAAAAGACGTCAGAGTTGTTGAGTAATTTGTAAACTGGTTTTATTAGGTGTGAGTCCTAACTCAGGTAACTTATCTGATACTCGTAAAACTACTTATCTTAGAGCCACATAACTTATTTAAATAAACCCTTGTACTTTAAATTTACACTCCATTGCGGTAACTTATTGACAGCTGCAGTGCTTTTTTTTTGTAAAGGAAATCCCAAGCTACATGATAAAAACAAAGTTCTCTATTTGTTTTGTCAAAAGTTTTAACTCAAAACCCTTTAAATCCAAATAAATGACCATAAACAATGCCAACTTATTTTAAGATTTATCATGCAGTTTAATATACATATATACGAAACCCCGAAATTGTGGACAGAAAACAGTCTTTAAATAAGAATATTTCCTGGCAAAAATCAACAGTTTCTGTCCATATCTCACTATGGAATCAACACGGGTTTTCCTGCTCCTTATTGGGATATGCTGGTTAACCCTCATACGAAATTCGGATGCTGAGTGCTGTCATCCAACATTGGGCCGGTGTGGCGATGGGACGTTCTCGAGAGGCCAATATTGTGGAAAGGGTCCATGCAACATCTTCGGTTGCAACTGTGACGGCGGCTGTCGCAGAGGCATGTACTCTTGGTTTCAAAAAAGAAGTATCGAAGAATAACATTTAAGTACATATATGTGTTATAAATATAACTAAAAAACCGTAGCATGTGACGAACTCGATGAAGAAAGCTACGAACCGGTAGAGTCGGTAATAAACCCAGCAAAGACAAAAAATTCCGAACACTTTCACTGTGCTGCAGGTTTTAATTCTGAAAAGCCAACAAATGCCATTGTAAACGAGGTTTGTGGTTTGGGATTTGGGGAGTGTGCCAGTGGGTGTCATTTAACTACATGGATAATGATTAAATCTAACTATATTCAGAGCCAAACTTCTTTTTGAGACCGGCATTGGCCACACGTCCCTTGAGCGAACGCACCGCCATGCTGGGCAGACAGCCGCGTTTCTGGAGGTCATCCAGCTTCACGGTGATCACGGTATCGATCTCCTTCTGGCGCTGGGCCTCTGCAGCCTTCTCCCGCTCGATGGCCAGGCGCTCGTCCTCCAACTCCCGGCGACGGGCCTTCTCCCGCTCCTCAATCTGGCAGGAGACGCCCGTGCGCAGGCAGTGCTTCTTGAGCTCCTGCTCGTCGGCCTCGCGCTTCATCTGCTCCTCTAACTTGGCCTGGTACTCGATCATCTCTTTAATCTCTCGCTCCCGCTGAACGTAGTAACAGGCCTTCATCTGGCTAAGGTGCTCCATGTGCTCCAAGTTGGCCTTCTTGATATCGGCGGCCAAACGGCGTTCCTTCTCGGCGGCCTTGCGCTCGTTCTCCCTGTACTTGCGCTCCATCCGCTCGACCTCGGCGAGGTAGTGCATCTCCTCGCGATTGCCCTTAGCGTCGAGGGCCTTTTGGCCCACTGCGAAGAGGACATTCCGCTTCTGTTGCGCATCCGCCTCGATGGCCTCGCGTTCGGCCCTCTGTTCGCGGAGTTGCTTCTCCTTGAGCTTGCGGTACTCATAGGCACGGATCTCGTCCCGCTGATCCTGCTCGCACATCATGCGAACAAAGTCCTTGTGTAGCTGCATGTACGTATTGAGCTCCTCGCGGTAGGCAACCTTTCGCTTGGAACGGGAGTCCACCTCGGCGGCCTCGGCCTTCTTGACCTCATCGATGGCGGCGCGCAGCTCGCGGGCATCCGCCCGGACTCGGTCCTCGGCCATGAACCGGAGCTGCTCCCGGTCCTTGATCTGCTCCCGCACTGCCATGCCGAACTGTTTGCGCCGCTCCTCCTCCTTCTGGTCGTTCTGCTCGACGGTGCCCCACTTGGAGTTGTTATACAGTAGATTCTTTCGGGCCATCTCCTCGTCATGGTCGCTTTGGATGCGATCGAGAAGCTTCCGCTCCTGAATCTGGGCCGTCCACATGGCACTGCACTTGGCCTCGGAGATGGCTCGAGTGGCTTCCTTGACCCGCACATCGGACTCATACTTGGCGTCCAGGGCCCGATGGAGCACCTGTAGTCTCTTTGCCTCCACTTTGCGGTCTTCGTCAATGTCTTCATCCGCCTCGGCGTCGACTTTTTTCTGGGCCTCGCGTTCTTTTTCCCGCCGCTGCTCGTCGATGTCGTGGAAATATGTACGCATCCGTTCGGCCTCGGCTGTCTGGAAGCTCTGCTCCTCCAGCTGGCGCTCCTGCTCGGCCCGCCGCTCCTCGACAGTCGGTGGCCGCCATCCTCGCATCCGATCCAGGTCGTTCTTAGAGAGCTCTGCGTAGCCCTTGGACTCCCACGGCTGGCCCTTGATGTGAAAGAACGTGGCCTTGGCTCCGTCATAATTACGAGCCCGAGGTGGTGCCTTACTGCCGCCAGTCCTTTGTCCTGGCTGTGGCCCTGGCAGCGGTCTTGGTGGTATGGTTCCCGGCGGTAGGGTTCTTTTTTGTTCCTTCGGTTTCACTGGCTTGTCCCGGCGACTGCCGCACGGTTCGTCCTTTACTGTGTTCGTGGAAGGTGGTGGCTCCATGTAAATGGGCCTCTTGAGGCGATCATAGCAATCCGGATGGAGCTTTAATGCATTTCGAGCGCGACAACCCAGGACCATGGGCATCTTGGCCAATCGAGAGCTTACTGAGCCGGGAAATGAGCAGGAAAATCAGCAGGATATTGGTTAGGAAAATGCTGGAAAATATAACTTTTAGCTGATTTTCTCCGAGCAATATTCGAGTCTTGGTCTGTTAGTGTTACTGGCTTGTTTCGTTTATCCCATATGACAGGTTATAAGTGTACGGAGAGACTTATCTGCAGGCCTGCTAGGAGTTACAAAATTTAACACACTTATATGTTTTTATTTATATAAATATTTGATTAAAAATTTTATAATTTATTACAAATCATTGTCAGAACGTCGAATTATTTCAAATGCCAGCTGCGGACTGAACCCCATTCAGAATTGGCTGCGTAAAGGTTAACCAGAAATGATTTATTCGAATAAAAATATATAGATAGACCCGTAGTGCGAGTCCGCCTAATTGCATGTCAGGCCGGCGTATTGATCAAAAGCTCATTTGCCACTGCGGGCGGCTGGCTTCAAAGTCGATTTTTAATTAGTTCATAATGTCGAGAGCGACGCGATCTGTGCTCGGTTCTACTCTCTCGGCAAGCTTGCAACATAATAAATAAGAGGAGCATATATTGAACTCCCCAAATCGGTGGGTGCCATGGCACTCCCATAATTTTAGACGCCAACGAGAATGCCTCGGCGCTCCGTTCCGCTTTTCATCGGAAAATTGAGTGGTCGCCTCTGTGTGTAAATGGGCTAAATGAGCAGAGTGAAAATGAAATAAACAAAACGATTTTGAGATTAAGAGTTCGTCCATTCGGATATGGGTTTGTTTACGCGGGATTATGCAACCGCCCGCACAGTGGTCTCTGGTTTCTCCACTCTACTCCCTTTCTTTTTTATTCTTAAAGAGTCAATTTAAAAGCAATAAAATACCAATTGACAGCATAATTTTCCACAATTCCATCGAACTCAATTGCAAAACTCTTTCGGGGGAACGCGGAAACTAATGCCACAAAGACATTGCCATTGTTCCAGCTCAACTTGTAAGCCAGCATTGTAATCTCGAGGGGATTATGTTGCACTCTACGGAGGATGAGCAGCCACTGTGTGACTTTTCCCCATTTTCTTCCGGACTGAGGAGGAATTTGTTAGTGTTGTCTGGCGATTGTCTAAGGCTAAAGCTCTCGCTCACGCGCCGTTCGCCACTCAGCTGTTCCGCTTTTCCGACTGATTTTCCATGCATGCATGGCTCTAGCCCTCTTCCGCTCTCTCGTGCTCTCTCTCTCACTCTCACTCTCGCTTGCTGTTGTGTGTGTGGTGGGTGTGCGAGCGCTTTTTTCATCTGCCACAAACACACACATAGGTATTTTTCGAAAAAACTAAATAGCAACATGAAAAAGTTTTTCAGTTTGCTTGTTGCTTTGCCCGCGTGCGGTTCGGTTAGAAATTTGCTCTTGATTCGATTTACCACGCGTGTGTGTGTGATTTTGTGTCTTGGAAACAGCCACAGGTAGAAGATTCTTCACAGAAATCCGCTGCTATTTCGGACAGCTGTGCAAACTCGGGGAAAAAAATAAATAAATAAATATGTAGTACCCCGCGTATACGTAACTTTTTGTCAGCACATCACTCAGCCGCAGTGTGGGCCAACATTCAGCTGCATTCATTCTGCAAATGCCGTGAACGATTTCAAATTTGTACAGCGTGTACCGTGAAAGTTTTCAAATTTGTTTTGCACCGTGAAATTTTATTAATTTTGTCTTCCCAAGGTGCGCGCATCCCATTCAATTTTTGAATTTTCCACCACATCGTCGTACATCGTACATATATCGAACGAAATAAACAGGCACACAGAGCGGAAATTGTGGGAGAATAAATACATACTTAAAGTGATCATAAAAACAAATTGGGAATAAACTTAAAGCAAAGTGCTTGGGGAAGTATACTTAAAACAGGCAAAATGTTGGGAAAGTTTACTAATTGTGATCAAGTGATAAATAGCTAGGTAATATTCAAATGATACTTGAAAAAATGAATCGTACTCTAAATTTAATATTACTATTAGCTTAGTTCTTTAATTTTAATCTTCCTGACTTTTTTCCCCGTGTGTCTGTTTATATGCTGGCGGTGTTCTTGTATGTTTTTCTTTTATTTTTTCTTTCTTTCTTTTTGGCAACTGTGTTAACCATGTTCTGTGGGTGAGTCAGCGGCTTCTTCTTGGTCGCGGTCAGGGCAAAATAAAAAATAAAACCGAAAGCAATGCATTTCATAGACGCACAACAAATGCGAGAAGCACCTCGCTCCCAATTCACAAAAAGAAATGTTCCCCAATTAGAAACGTAAACAAAAGGCCGAATATAATCCGTACGCAGGTGTAGGAATTCGTGTTATTATCCAGCCATTTGCGGTGTTTTTTCCACAGTGATGTAATAGACTCCGAGATATCTGAATACGAGGACAAACGGCCAGTTGGCAGGGCCAGCAGATTACACACATTATGAGCCCGATTCGGTTCTTGGCAACATGCACCACATGCAAAAACATATATAGTACAAATAGATGCACATATCGCTGAATGCTCAATAACTAGAGCAGCAGCATCATCTCGTTTTTGGTGCCAAAGTCAAGCGGATAATTGCCAGCCGGAGGCGGATCACAGGGCCACTTGCCATTTGCCACTTTCACATATATTACATGGCCTATGGTGCCCCCGCATATTATTGAAATTTGCTTAACCATTTTTCTGTTTTTTGTAACTTCGATTTAATAGTGACCTCTCGCAAACCATATTCATTTCACTGGCAAACGCTTTTGTGGGTTGCGGTGACTTTGGCACATTGTTGTGTGAATGGGATTGTTTGGTATGGGGATGGGGATGGGGATGTGGGGCGTTTGATTTGCCATTTCTGACGCCAATACGTTAACAATAAGAAACAGCACAAATTACCTCTAATGGTCCGCGTAACGCCCAGGCGGGAAATTGTTTTTGAATCGTTCAATTGAAAGCGAATTAAATAATTTCTTGGTCAACGGGAAATATATATGTTAATCAAACTGGCTTTGGCACACAAATTGTTGCAATAACAATTGTTTTCGCACAGAAAATTAGCTCGTTTTATTGACAGTTTTGTCAGGGCACGCGATGTGCTTGATGGGATATCAATTATTACACTGGAGAACATGAAATTAGGTTCAGAAGCTGATTTTTAGTATAAATTTGATTTCATAAATACATTTGAGGTGTTTTATGGGAATCACCAGAACTGGTTTCAAACTATTTCTGAGTCTTATTTTGTCTTCTAGGTCAAAGACTTAAGAATTTCGTTTCATTTCCCATTAAAAAAATCATTCATTTATGATTTGTCATAGTTATTATTTTTATTATATGTTAAACAATCTAGAGTTACGTCTCAAGTAGTAATAATTTGTTATCAATCAGTTTTGAGGGCCATCTGCCTTATGTCAATCCAAGCTCTCGTGGCGCCTCCCTTTGAGGTGCTCTATAAGGCATTAGATTGGAATAAAATCAGCATTATCATTAGCATTTGGAAAAACTTGGGCAACTTGGGCAATCACCTCGGAAACCCGCCGCCCACGCTTGGTGACTTCCACCATGATGCGGCATGACTCGCACGGGGACTGGCTTTTACGCTTCACTAATTAAAGCAGCAATTAAATATATATTTTGTTAAACTACAAAACAAAAGACAAACTGAAAAAATAGTTGCCAAATTGGCGTTTTCCAAAAAGAGACTGAAAGAAATCCCAATTGAATTGGGACTCAGACTCGGATTCGGATTCGGGCGGAAGTTATAAATTCCTAAGCGGTCTGATATCATTCCTATTTATATAGAAATGTCGCCGCCGGATGAGTTATTTCCCTTGGGAATGGGGATTGGACTAGAAGTAGGTGGTCTACACGGCATACCAATTAGAAGAAAGCGCCAGCAGGGCAACACCCTTTGCCACGAGCCACTCCCTCCAAGTACATAGGTGCAACAGCATGGCCAAAGACGAAGCCACAGACACTTTCCACGTTCCGGTCATTAACCGGAAAAGTGCATCGCACAGACAACTGGCCATTAAAGAGGCTGCTTCCCCTGCTGCTCTAGCCGCGATCATTAATTGCAACCATTTGATTTGTTTACACCCAAAAAGAACACACGGAAGCCACTACAAATTCGCGAAAAGTGCAGTGCAAGTGCAGGCAAACACAAACAATTCGCCGGGTTCCGGGCCAAGATCCCAGTTCCACGCGGATTCGGAATCGGAATCGGGAGTACATCGAGGGAAATTTTTAAGTGCAAATAAAAACAATGACGACAGCCAAATGGATTTGGCGCTTGGCGCTCAGCATCTTCTTGGGTGAGTACCACAGTCGCCACACTGCTAGTATGTTATTTTAAGGCCTACCCGATGTTGGTTTTATGGTCTTTTGATCGATTTACGTTATTTTCGGCGAACAAACGTTTCGCACATGGCCCAAAAGAACTTGAATTTTCAAGACTTTCCAACTAGAACTAGAATTCCCCACAGTGCGTCACAAAAGTATGCAAAAAGGCAGCCGCGTGTGATGGCATAATGTTTATTTTTACAAATGCAAACACAGCTGTGTCAGCTGGATGCCTCTCCTCCTGGTTAGCCTCTGGTTTTTTATCGTATGTTTCGTTTAAATCACATTAACTAATTTCGCCAAGATGAGTATGCGGCTATTAACATGAAAATTAATTCTCAAATATTTCCACTTAAACAAAAGAGGCAAAGATAAACAAGAAAGGGAACTAACTTCGGGTAGCCGAAGTTTATATACCCTTATAGTTTTCTATTGAATTATAGAAACAGATTAGAAATCGATCAATACTAAGCTTAAAATATTTAGCAATATAGTTATATGACAATTTGTTCGACAAATCAAATATTAACAATCCCATAACTAAGCCAAAAGAGCATTAATTTTAATTCGGAAACCACTCCTAAGTCAGTTATTAGTAGTTAAATAAATCGACATACTCCATTTTAAATTTAAAAAATATTTGGATTTTTATCAATTTTTGACAAGTTTAACGATGTAACCCCTTGTAAAAATTGCAAAATTTTGAACAAATTAAATTTTTGTCGAACATAGCTAGATCGACTATGTTTTTGATGCTGATCAAGAATATATATGATTTATAGGGTCGGAAATGACTCCTTCACTGCTTTAGTTGTTTCTAACTAAAATAAATATACCCTTGCAAGGAAGCAGGATCGATTTTTGCTTATAATGCAGAAGGAACACTCTTTGGAAAAAAATACTCAGGATAAAATTAAATACACACAAGACTTTAAGCAGATCTAAATAATTACAAACTAAACATTAAATAACCCTACATAAACTTGGATTGCTTCCAAACATAACAATTCCAGCCACAAGACTAAATAAAACATTCGTATAAATGTTTCCTATATCATGCCCTTTAATATTCCCATTTCATGGTCAATGGCTTGCCCAAAATTGATTGGTTTCTTACTTAAAAATGTTTCAATAAACAAACATAAGTTGGCAAACTGAATGAAATATTTATAAAACCCCCAATTGAGCCAAGGCAAATGTTTTTATTTAGCATTTTTGGCCTACCATGTCTATGGTTTTTGGCTACGATAAATCAATGGAATATATGTACTTGTGCTGCCGTCCATATGGCATGTATTTGGCTATCCATCCATCCGTTTCTTCTGATATTTTCCATAGAAAATAAAAAAACGTTTGACAAATCGTACTCGAACAGCTGGCCAACGCCTCTTCACTCAGTTGTCTCCCTATTTTGACAAACCAATCATCACTGACCAACTGTTTCCCACCATTTCTTTTCTTACATTACGCATACGCAGCGTTGACTCAACTTGGGCGGGCAGGAAGAGCAGGTGCTGGTGGTCCGTTGAAAGTGAAATTCAAGTGAATTCTCAGCCTGTCACATCTCACTTGGAGGCGCGAGAATAAAAGTCATGAAACGTCGAGATAGAGAGACGGGATCACGTCGCATGGCCGTTTAGCGAGCGTGGGAAATTAGAAAAACCTACCGTGACGCACTTGCTGCTATTTTTGGCTCGTTAGTTGATCCATTAATAAATTTATACGTTTATACATATAACGAATGGCAACAATTTGAATTTTATTTATCAACATCTTTTACGACTCGCAAATATTTTGTTTCCCCATTTTTTTGATGTTCTTTTTTATGGATTGTTTGCAGTCGTTGGCTTCGTGGACGCGGACAAGCCCCAGGGTTTCCACCGTGAAATATGTCAGTATCGCAAGGGCAAGCATGTAAGTGAGGATTTAGATAATCCTTTCTTCTAACTTACTTACTCTTAATCCTTGTGATCCCTGCAGATCCAGCCCATGAGCGTTTATCACACCCGCCTGCTTGCGGTTCGCGAACAAATGCTGATCCGCGCCTCTCTGCAGGGGCCCGAGATTTATGGCTACCTGCTGCCCACCATGGACGAGCACCTTAACCAGGAGGTGGCAGCTAGGGATCAGCGGTTGCGTTACCTCTCCGGCTACACAGGTGTCCGGGCCGTGGCGGCCATCACGCACCATGGCGCAGCCATTTGGCTAGAGAAACGCTATGTCCAGCAGGCGGATGGGGAGCTGGAGTGTGACTGGGAGATTTACCTGGCCAACGGCAATGTCACCGTGGCCGACTGGTTGGGCAGTCACGTTCACCTGGATAAGCGTGTTGGCGCCGATCCTCATTTGGTGCCCCATGCTCTGTGGATTGAGTGGGAACGCCAGCTGGAGGATAAGTTCCTCAAACTAGCCAAGATCAACAACAATCTGGTGGATCTCATTTGGACAGATCGTCCAGAGACGCCTAAGAACCAGGTAATACAGGTGCAGGCCAAAGAGTATGCAGGCGAGAACTGGCAAGACAAGGTGAAGGAGCTGAGGAAACGACTGGCCGAGCTGGCCTGCGATGCCATGGTGATCACTTCTCTAACCGAAGTTGCCTATCTGCTGAACATTCGCGGCACCGACATTCCCTACACACCTGTCGTGAAGGTGGGTCATATTTGTAACCTTTGCGGCTGGAAACCTTATACTTTCTCTTATTCCTTCAACAGTCATATGCCATTGTCAGCCAGGATGACATATTCTTCTATGTTGATCACCACAAGATCAGTCTGGGGATTGACCTCCACCTACGCACTGATTGCTACAATGAGGATTGCGTTAAGTAAGAGTATCTTCCTCCCCAATAGTATACATATTCTCTAATCACTTATAATCCTCTAGGATCAAGGAGTACAATCAGATCTGGAGCGATATTCGAACCTATGCCCAAATATGGAAGCGTGTGCTTGTTTCGGCTCCCTGTGTCCAAGATCTGGGCGCCTCGGAGGCCATATATTCATCCATGCCTGGCAAGATCGTCGTCTGGCACATCTCACCGATCATCTTTATGCGGGCCCAGAAGAATTCCGATGAGCAGGCTGGCATGCGGAGGGCACACATCCGTGACGGAGCCGCCATCTGTGAGGCCATGAGCAATATGGAGACACGCTTCCACACGGAACAGTGGACCGAGGAGAAGATCAAGTACGAGGTGGAGCTGTGGCGTCTCTCGCAAAACCATGCCAAGGGCCTGTCCCTGCGCACCGTGGTGGCCTACGGCGAGCACTCTGCCTTGCCTTACTACATCTCCAGCAATGTGACCAATATCGAGGTCTCCGATCAGAGTCTCCTGATCATTGAGTCGGGTGGCCAGTATCTGGAGGGCACCACGGACGTGTCACGTACATTTATCTTTGGCCAACCCACACAGGAGATGAAGAAGGCGTACACTAATGTATTGGCGGGAATTCTACACTTGGCGCAACTCAAGTTTCCATCAGACCTGAAACCCTCCGAGGTGGACGCCCTGGTGCGTAGTATGGTGTGGAAGGATATGACTGACTATCCGCAGGCCACAGGTCATGGTATTGGCGCCTATGGAGCCGTCGAAGAGCGTAAGTGAAGGTGATTCATTCTCTGTTAATCTTTAGCTAATGTAAACTTCCACAACAGCTCCGATATCCGTGGCCTATGGCAGGAATAGCAGCTTCCACTTTAAGCAGGGTTACTTCTTCTCCAGCGGTGAGTTAGATATTGTCAATATATATTTATCTTTTCTAATCTAATGTTATATCCGCCACAGAGTCCGGCTACTACAAGCGCGATGACTTTGGAGTGCGTCTAAAGAACGTGCTGGAGGTGGTGGACACGGGGCACACACATCCCAGCGGAGCACACTTCCTTGCATTCCAGGACGTCACCATGGTGCCGTATGAGCCCAAACTGATCGACAGCACACTCCTTAGTGCCGCGGAGAAGCGGCTCCTCAACGAGTATAATGCCAGGATCCGAAACGACATTGGCGACGAGCTGAAGAGGCTGGGCAACATGCGTGCCTTCTACTGGATGATGAACAAGACGCGACACATACGGGAATACCTGCCGGAGGACGAGTACCGCTCAGCGACTGGCGGCGGCAGTGGAGGCCATACCACGGTGCCTCTCCTCATCCTGGGCCTGACTATCGTTCTGGCCTCGATCTTTCCCACGCGATCGTAGTAGATCCTTAGCGTAACGATCTGTCTGTAATTATGTAGTCTTAGTTAGCTATGCAAATTAAACAAAAAGAAAGAGAGAAACCGGGACTAACAACAAAGTGAACCAATCGAGCAACCACAGCAACTGTTAGTATTTTAGTTATGGATTGAGTTAAAATGGAGTAAAGTCGCACCCTGCCACACCGAGTTCCCTTCCTGTTTCCGCGGGAACTGGTCTTAACTTGAACCAAATATGTACGTAAACCGCAAGTGTATAAAATCTCTAATCGTAATCGACCAAAAATATGTTAAACTGTTTACAATTAATACGAACAATGTCTGTATACTTAAGGAATAACATTGTATAGTTTTTTTAAATGTGATTAAATAAAATATAAAAACAAATACAAATTGCTGAGAGAGGCGGGAAAAGCATGTTCTCATAAACGTTTATAGTAATTCCTAGACCAGGGCATATCATTTTCTAAAACAATCGAATTAAGTTTAAGCTATTTCTTAAATATTAAACTTTTTGTTTTGTTAAAGTCTTTTTACATTATTCTTACAGATACTTTACATGATTCCCTACATCATAGACAATGCATCGTTAATTTTTTCATAGCCAACTTTAAGGCATTTAATTTATTAATTTCTTGGCTAAGATTGGTAGAAAAAAATACTAACATTTATAAAAAATGTATGTTCTGCAAAAATGATTATAATACTATAATCCTAAAATAATAATCATTATAATGTTATAGTCCTAAAATAATACTCATTATATCTAAATTTCTAATTTATTTGAATTATTACACTTCTCTTATACCGTCTTAAAATATATTAATCAACACTTATACCTTTTTAGGTCAAACAAATTTGTAATAAGACAGATCAATGCACTAAAATATACAAGTTTATAAATTTGTTAAAGCGGTAGGAGGAAAACAATAGGAATCGGATTATTATTACTCAAATTACAAAGATTAGATCTGGGACTTATGTATATCTCCTAGAATATTCTTATAAAGCAATAGATAATCGACGATAAAAATCACCAAATATTTATATATAGAAATGGTATCAGAACAAACCCCAATTTAATTACCAACCAGTTACTACCACAAAACTGTTTCAGATTAACACGTTAAGATTATCCAACCCACTTGTGTTCGTAATGGGACAACTGCCATCCCAATCGTTATTCAACGAGTGTAATACCGTCTTGAGATACATTTCGACTGACACCAATGGCCGGAGAATCCAGTTCGATGCCAGTGACAGGCCAGACAGGCGTCTTCGGATTAAGCCTGATCCCAAATGGGGCATTGAATGCAAGGAGCAGCCGGTCGTTTACGGTAAATGCTATTTATGTGCTCCTCTCTATTTGAGGCACATTTCTGAGCACCTCACTGGAGGAGTCCAAATCCCCCGAATCGAACTAGATCGCCCGCCTGGCCCAGTTTCGATTGCCACAAAGGAGCCAAGATGCGCCGCCAACTTCATCTTTTGTGGGCCTCGCACCAGAACCTGACACTCGCTTCGGAGATTCTGACAGAGATTGACCCATTTTTGGCCAGCAAGGAACCTGTTTCCGATGTTCCGATGATGCGGCGTTGCTGTGCTCCTCCGACCGCCCGACTGTCCGCCTGGCATGAATATGCGCGGTTATCGACGGCCTGGCCAGCACATGAATTAATTTACCCCGGTGGCCAGAGCCAAAGCCAGAGCCAGAGCCTTGCCATCGTCTGTCTAACGGTTCACTTGAATATTGGCCAGATATTTCGTTTCGGTCGCAGAATGGGCACGAGGCAATTTGGGCCACTGTCCACGCAGGTTTTTCCACTTTTCGGCAAATGGAAACTGGGCCTCTGGATCGAGTCAAGGTGGACGGCCGCGCTAAGAGCGACCTGACCTGCTCCAGAATTGATAGGATTACCTAGTTAATTTTTTATAAAAAAAAGACATATGACTTTGGTATCGTCTTGGTTTTAAAATATCTAATTATTATTAAATTTTTATACCCCCGCAGGGTATTTAGAAGCATTCAACGCAGCGAAGGACTCATTTCCGACCCTATAAATCATATATATTCTTAATCAGCATCAATAGGCGAATCTTTTAAGCCATGCCAAACAAAAATTTAATTTTTTCAAAATTTTGAAATTTTTATAAGGGGTTACATCATTAAAATTTTCAAAAATTGCCAAAAATTTTAATTTTCTTAAATGTTAAACTGAGTATGCAGATTATTTAGCCTAGTGAAAACTAATATAGGAAAGCTTTCAAATTTAAAATGAATACTTTTTTGGCTTAGTTACGAGTAATTTAAATTTTGATTTATTGAAAAAATTATCATATAAAAATAACATTTTAAGCTTATTTGTGATCGATTTCCGATTCGATCTTATAATTTGATTTGAAGCTGCAAGGGTATATGAACTTTAGCTTTTCTTTCTTGTTGGATTTATAAATAATCAAAGATGAAAAGACTGTCTTTGATATAGGTTTTTCAGGCACAAAGCACTTCGTACTAATGACCCTTATAGAAAATGTCGAATCGAGCTCAAAGAATTATTCTTACTCAAACGGATAAAGACAAGTATTCAATCCGCTAACACTTAATTATATCGGCGTAAGAGGAGTTACTTAAAATGCCTAATAGAAATACTACCGTTATTTTATTTTACAACATTTAGTTGTCTTTATGCCTTGGGGAAAAAGTTATTTAAGAGTGGAACTCCTTGTGACTTCTGTTGACTTGAGCGTGGCAAATTGGCGCTATTAGTGTCGTACTTAGGATCTCGCCGCAGGTTGCGACTGCTGGCCGAGTCCGATCTTTGGCTAATCCACTTCAGCCGAAGTCGAGCCGTCAGTCAGTCAGTCTGTTGGCCACTTTGACTTTGGTGTTGACCAAGTCCACGCAACAAAAAAAAAACTAAACTGGCTGCTGCATCGGCTGCATCATCTCCCCTAGTCTTGCTGTGGCACTGCCACTGCCACTGCCACCGCCACTGCCTCTGCCAGCGAATAGAGTTGGCTTTGGCTTTGGCATCGTCAAATTGGTCGGACGCAGTTAGTCTCGTTATTGACTTCGCGCACTCCGGTCGCTGCTCCTCCGACTGCCGAGATTTCCACATCTCTCTCCACCCATTTTTCTCGGCTGGAAAATGCAAATTACGAGCGAACGAAAGTGTTGTCGCCGACCGAAGAATAGGAACGTGACCGAGTCATTGGGAAAATAAGCAGAATTTGTACTTTGATTGCGGGGTTAGAGAAGAAAGTTTCCGCCGATGTTAAAGCCTTACCTTGCAATTTATAATCTCTCGAGTGTAAAGTGATTTGGCAGTGAATAATTTGACCAGGAAAAGCTGAACAAACTAAGGTAAGAAGAAGTGTGCTTAGTGTTACTAAATTACGTATACGACATGTGTGTTGCCAATTTGGTTTCTTATTGAATATAACACAAGATAAAAGTGGATTAATAATTTCTAGGTCTAGTTTTGCGTTAATTTTTAAAACTTTGTGATGTTAGTGCCTTGAAGTCTTTTCTACTTTCTAAATATCCATTTTACATTAAAACAATTTATTACTAATACGACCTGTGTTCAAAGGAAATCGACAATGCCTTTCAAGGCTGCATTATTAATTTTATATTGCGCTTATTAAGTGCGCTTAGGCTGTATGTAGGCCAGACTGCCGTTGTCATTTAATGACAATTATTTCGCTCCACTTCAATTAAATATCTGCAATCCTAATTGCACGAAGAACGAAGAAGCCAGGCTACAACATTCTCCTGACCAAGAATGGCCTGGCAAACAACAACTGGACATGGACATCAGGTGTGTTTATAGTTGACAACCATATAAGCCTTGTTAGCAGAGCGGCAAACGCTTATTCGATTAGCGGGATTTACGAGAGTTGCACTGAGAGAATATTTAAACAATAATACATATCATTCAAGAATGTTGGTTTTAAACAAAAACTATATTTGCTAATAAAATTTATATTGGATAATATTAATAAATTATCTAACAATAACTGATAATGAATGGTTATATTATTTGTTGTATCTTTATAACTTACAAAATATTCTATTCTTAGTTTTAAATACAAAAGTATTACAGAATTTCCTAGTTTAACTCTATCCTAAAAATTTTTCTAAACCTTCTCCAACCTTCTGGTTTTTACATTAATTTGTGTGTTCAACTTAATCAAACGTTCTTTTAATTCAGTTATAAAATCATCAACTGTGTATATTGAAGCTGTGCCAGCTGCTGTGTTGGTAGCTTCTTGGCGACGACACTGGTAATCAAGATCGACAAGTCATTTTTCTTGCTAAACTCGTTCAGGTCGCCATCGTCTGGCAGCCAACTTTGTCCGTTGGCCGCAATTGTTTCTAGCAGGGATCTCTCGGCTTTTCTTGCAATTATTTTCCGATTTTCTCCTCTCGGCTCGGAGGCTGCGTGACAGGTCCGCGGATCAGAAACTGGAGCACCGATGCGCAGTTGGCTTCAGTTCCAGCATCAGCTTGCAACTTGTTTGCTGCTTCCAGCTCCGAAGGTGGGTCAGAGCCATAACTCCTCGACGGGATGGGATCTATGGCTTAGAAGAGGAGCCGAGACACGTCTGTTTTACAATGTATGCGACTATAATCGTGCGTTGAGCCATTTCCAATCGCCAATCACCGGAGTACCGCTATCGAACAATCTCTTTATCGGGAATGCTAGAATGTGCTAATGAAGCATTCTATTCTACTAAGAAGAAATGGAAGACCTACACGATTGAGTACTGTACATCAATGCATCACTTGTGTGGTGGTTTAGACTCGGGAGAAATAAAGGGGAATATGTAATAATTAATTAGCCCATCAGAGGCCTAGGCTTCCTTTGGAAAACTACCTAATTTCTAAACATATCAGACACTCTCCCTAAGGGCGGAGTCCCGCTGAGGGGTCTATCCAAAAATAGAAACAATTACAGTTGGCAGAAGCGCTAGCCCTTAATTTAAGCCATGGCCTTAATGGTCATCTGGCATTGCGCACCTCGCAATTATGAATGGCAATAAAGAAAATCTATCTAGCTTCCGAGAAGTGCAGCTTTCGCCGCGCCAACGCGATAAATGACAAGAAAACAATTATCTTGTGAAGCGGCGGGCAGAATTATGATCTTATCTTTGGCTAGAAACGGCACTGGGCACTGGGCCACAAAGAGCACAGTTAGCCGGCAATCAGATGGTGTCAATGTGGTGCTCTTTCTTCCCCCTGGAAAAGTGGGGAAAACTGACCCACAAAGCACGCGCCATTTGAACCCAGCTGACCGCGATGAATGAAAGCCATTTAGCACCCACAACGGCGTTGAGAGAAGGCCAATTAAAAGGCAACTTTTCCAACAGGGCCATAAAACATT